GAAAGCCCTGAAAGTCAATGTTCCTGTTCATTATCAAATATCTAAAAGCATGGACGATTGAATTCTCGCTTCTACCGATAAAGGCCAAAAGGGTTTCCAAGAAATAACTTCCAAAAGGTTATCTAGGTGTGAGTCATGTTTCTTTACAATGTTACGAGAATTCGAAATGTATTGTTGATAGCAATTTATATATTAACAGAATAGGCCAACACAAATAATCGCATGCGATAGGAACAAGAACGAAAATAACACTATATTGTATAATAATTGAAGGGGCAAGTGGAAGAAGGAGTTATGTTACAAAAATATGAGTTTGTGAGAAAAATAGGTTTTAGTATAGAGTTAGCTTGCATTTTTTAATGAAAGCGAGTTTAATAATTCTATTTATGCAATTGTGAGGAATAGTTTCAGGTTGTTTTTTTTATGATTTATCGCATTTTTCTATCATATCATTTTTTGATATACATATGATTCATGCGTACATAACCCCTTTTTCCACTTCCTGACATGTAAATAATGGGCACATAGCTCCTTCTTCCATTGTGTTCTTGCCCAGCGAGCACAAACATCCCTGGGATGTTTTGAAAATGTTGGCATGAAGATGTTATTTTGAGACGTAATATGCACTGACCAAAGAGGTCTTTGAAGGATATTGAAGTATTGTTTTTGTTCTTCTGTGGCATTTCTTTGTTTGCCTACTGAGAGGTATCCCTGGGATGTTTTGGGATGTTTTAGAAATGTAGGCATGAGGATGCTTTTTTGAGGCGTAATGTGCACTTCCCAAAGAGGTCTTAGAGGGATATTGAAAGTATTGTTTTTGTTCTTTTGTGCCCTTTCTTTGTTTGCTCCACCACAACCTCTCATGCTTACGTCACAATACGATGAATTCTGATTTGTTTTCGATTTTGTTCTTCTTGTTCGCAATTGGCATTCTCGTTTGCAGCGTGTCACGCTCACATCACGCTGCTAACGAACAGAAAGGAATTTGGTGAAGTTTATTGTGTTAGAAGACTTATTTAGTTTGTAATAATGACCATCAGATGCAAGATGTGTTGTTCGGTGCCTCAGTGTAATCAATATATAAAAGTACGAATTCATCAATACACAGCTTCTCCGCAGTTGCAAAATTATCTATTGTGGAGAACATTTCAAAAATTGGGAAACCTATTTCCAATTATATGTCTGTGTGTAGTAAGCACTACTCAGAAACCGATTAAGAAGGTAATTTCATATCAAGAAAATATTTTTATGTTCAATCTATTTTTAATGCATTTTTTCATTTAAGGGAAATGGAATCCTAATGCAAAAGTTCATTTTGACAAAAGGCTTCAGAAAAGTACCTCGAAAATAGTTTTTTACAGCGATTTAATGTGCGCAAGACGCGTTAAAAATGTTCTGTTGTGTCCATGGGCTTTAAAAAGAACTAAGGAGAAGGTAGTTTTGTGACATATCAAGGACATCTCGATAATTGCCGCCTGCGGCGGACATTGGCTGTTCTATAATAGTTCTATTCATGTGTGAACAGAACATCGCAGTGGAGGTTCAATATGTCTCGAAATCTCGTACTTTTAACATCTCTGAGATGTTTTTGTGCTCGCTGGGTGATGTTTATCTACTCAGATATGGAGAATGGAAACAAATCGTGACAGGGCAAGTTATGCATATGCATGTAACACCATCTTCCATGACATAACCGAATATTTTCAGAAAATGTTACTTGACCCCTTCATCCACTTGCCCCTTCAATTATTCTTCTCTGTATATAGGGTATTATACTATAGCTATAGCTTATAGGTATATACTTGTCTATATACCTACTAGACAAGATTATGACTCACACACACACAGCATTACAGCGCGGTAAATTCTGGTGCATTTTCATGCGTATGGGGAAATTCACGGGAAATACATTTATTGTTACTGATGCACCGACGTAAACTATTTAATTGCAGATTTGCATGGTATTTTTTTTTCGACATTGACAAATGAGCAAAAATCTCGCATTTTGTAATTCCAACAACTATTAACATTTATTTATATCGTAAAGTCACCATGAATTTTTTTTTATCGCTTGGAGCGCACGAAAGGGAATCCCTATAATGTTCAGAGAACATCGTGCGTTCCTAAGGAGGATAGGGATAGGTATGAATGTATACTATCGGCATAGATGGGAGTCTCTATATAACAGATATTCCTAGTAAAAGATTGATAAAATTGTAATACAACATTATAGTTGGCAGTTGAAACAAAGGAATTGACATTAGTATTGATGAATGAGGTGGGCGTAATATTGATCATTAATTGAAAAAAAAAGTTCTGCCTCTGTTTCCATACCGGTTTCCACTGTCAACTAAATGTTTTATGATACTAATATCGAATTTTTACAGGTAATGTCCATTATAGCATTATTAAAGAAACATTTTTTCCCTTCGGAACTATGCGGAACACGATATTTTCACAAGAGTACCAAAATTAATATATAAATTAATCAGCCATCTCACTAAAAAAACTCGAGAACCGTTTTACCACCCCTAAGAATGCCCTGAAAAAAATGTCAGGGGGTGAGGGTGGTTTTAACCCTTCCGCAATTTCTTTTGGGTTTCTTTGATAGACAGATATATTATTCAAAAAGCATATAATGAGGGTTATAATTAAACTTAACCTTCGTGAATAATAGCTCATTAGGTATATTGTGAGTAGAATACTATACTTTGTCCACGACTACTATTGTTCTTCATATATAAATTCATTTTTAACAACTGTTTTATCATAACTCATTTGATATTAGGAAAACTAAAAATTGAATAAGATACCTGTTATATTGAGTATTTGTCTGTTGTACATACTTCCCCAAGCAAAACAACAACAACAACAACAACAACAACAAAACAAGCAAAACAATTCCCATTTTTTACACCAGTGAATAATAGCGGTGAATAACCATTATATTCGCTGGTCTAACGTTCCTTAGTTATATCGCGTACCCTATAGGAACTCTAGACCAGTGAATTATGATTACTCACTGTCATTATTGAAAAATGGCTACCGTTTTGCTTGAGGAAGTACATGTATCATGAATATTTTATACAACAGTCGTGGATAACGAAGGGTAATCATCTAAAATGTGTTTTTCTATGTAAACTTTGAACTCATCTCACGGACGATCGGTACCTACATTTTGTTATACAGGGTGTATCTAAATAACACCAACAAAATTCAAGAGGTGTTTCCTTGTGACATTCTAGCAAATAAAGTTCAGTTGAACATATGTCCTAACTTGCTCCATTTTTGAGATACATGAAGTTGAATGTTGATGTTGAACTTGGAAGTATCAATTTTTTTTATTTATAACTCCCCTGTATAAGTTTTCATGGTGCCAGAATTCAGTATGGATATGGAGAGTGAGAGATCTCAAAATTTCAAAATGATTCTAATTGGTGTTATTGAGTAATCTCAAAAGAAGTCTTGAAAACACCTACATTAAAATTTGGAGTCAAATCGAATTTTTATTGTTTCCTAAAAACTAATTTAGGTACAAAAATCACACAGAGGACAAAAAAGTTGTTACTTCAATAGTTCAAACTAACAAACTAATAAAAGTATGAAATTCAGAAACACTGGTGGAGTACAATGACATTCCCCATGAATATTGATAAATTTACCCACTGTGACGCCACTGGAAATATTATTTAGAATCTAATATTGCACTAAAAAAAGCTCCATATTACTATTAACAAAACCACAACGTTTTATTGAATTTCAGACAATCGAGAAATGATTAGAAACAGATTTTTCATGGTAATATTAATATACCCTGTATCTCAAAAACGAAGCAAGTTAGGACACATGTTTATATGAACTTTATTTATTTAAAATATCACAAAAATTTTTCGGTGTTTTTTAGATACACCCTGTATAAATAAGTTCGACTAATCAACTTATTTAAGATAACAACCAGAAGAGAAAAATCAAAGAATCTGCTTGCATTCTTCTGAACGGAGACAAGCATTGCTTTCTGTTCAGTTGATATGTATTACACGTGTTAGCTCTGTGTCCCAGCAATTTTTTGGTGGTTCTCCCACGATTTACACAGATTCGTGCAAGATATCATTAGATCTTGAAAGCATAGGAAGGCCTCTGTTGTGTGTATTTTATTTTATTTCTTTATTCAGACTTTTTTATTCTAAATTCAGACTTTTTTCTCTGAATTTAGACTTTGGCGTCTTTGACTGTTTGCATTGATGAATGCATTGAATACGGGTGGCGGAAATCTGATCGAAAGACAAAAAATGATAAAAAACCTTTGATAGAAGTCTTTTGATCGAAAGTTTTTTTGATAGAAATGCATTTGATCGAATGTTTTATGATAGAAAATACATTTGATAGAACCATAAATGATAGATAGAAAATACACTTGATAGAAACAGCATTTGATAGAAAATTCAACGGGGCTACGCTCAAGTTAGGTCAGTACGTTTGTGAAGATATGATCCTTCTTCATATATGTGAGAAGGAGGAGCTAGATGGAAATCGAAGCTTATGAATTCATTGATACCACAAACTGATCCTGTTACACCCGGTATATATGGTGTGTAGTATGAGTCTGAATTCAGAGAAAAATGTCTGAATTCGAAGAAAAAAGTCTGAATTCAGGCTTTAAAGTCTGAATTCGATAAAAAAGTCTGAATTCAGACTTTGAAGTCTGAATGAAGAAATAAGATAAAATACAATCAACAGTGGCTTTTCTAGGCTTTCGTAGCTCTGTGTCCCAGCAGTTTTTCCATTTTGTAACTGGCAAAAAAAAATCAGAGTGGTTCTCCCACGATTTGTACAGATTCGTGCAAGATATCATATTAGATCTTCGACCTCATACATGCGCAGAGGCAGGAAGAAGTCTTGGATTCCCCAAACAGCTTATTCACTTCAATCGAAAAACCTTGCGGTAGGCTCCACTGTATATAAAACAACCATCTCTCAAAGGCTTCTTATCATTTCCATTACACACTCTCATCGACAATCTAGACAGCGACAATCGACGATCGCCTCTGTGTTTTCCCGCCAAAATGTTCGGTTTCAAAGTGGTTTTCCTGCTGGTGATTTTAGTGCTTCTGGCCAGGCATAGTCTCGGAAATTTACTGCAATACGCCAGCCACATGGAGAGGGTGAGCAGCAAGAACTTTCCTTGCGATGCACCCCAAAAGAGGATGGTGTCTTTGAGGGAGATTGTCGGAGATGAAGAATTCGAGTTGAAGTTCCAGAAGGATATCAGTAAAGTGAGTCACTGAATATCAGTCGTTTTTTAATTCATGGAGTGGTATTGGAAAGGAATATTCTCAAATATATTATGAACATGAAAAAATATATATACAGGGTGTTAGTGACTTAGTGCGACAAACTTCAGAGGGTGCTTGGTTTTCGAGATACAGGGTATTATTATTTCTATGAAAAAAACTTTTTTTTAATTATTACTCAAATGTCTTTTTAGCAACTTCATTGAGACTTGGTGGTTTCGTTGAATGTAACATTGAGCTTCTTTTGATGTGCTTAAATTCGAAATAATATTTTCAGTGGCGTCACAGTGGGTTGATTTATCGATATATACGGTTAATATCATTCTATGTCACTGGTTTTTCTGACTTTCATATTTTTATTAGATCTAATCCTCTGTGTTTTTTGAATCTTGCTTAGTATTTGAGGAAACAAAAACAATTCGATTTGACTCCAAATTTCAATGTAGGTCCTCTCGAATATTCATTGAGATTACTAAATAACCTCAATAATCATCATTTTGAAATTTTGGGACTTTATCAGTCTCCAACCATACTGGGCGTTATGGATAAAAACAATTAATACTTCCAACTTCAACATCCTGTATATCAAAAACGAAGCAAGTTAGGACACATGTTTATATAAACTTTATTTCCTGAAATATCAAGAGGAATCACCCCCTAAAGTTTGTCGCAGTTCTTCACTAACGCCCTGTACATACAGGCTGACTGACAAAAAATGCTGCAATGAACTATCCGATTTTGAAACAATCTCTTTTTCCAATTACAGTTCCAACGACAGCGATTGTCCATTTTTTTTAAATGGCATTGTATATTTTTAATTTTTTTTCTGATAGAGATTTTTTCTGAATACAATGATGTATATATAACAAGTTGACTTCTTCCGAAATAAGTTGAAAAAAAAATTATGGTCCGTCGACGACAAATGGATCTTTTCAACAAATTTTCTATTGAGTCATTGGAGGTCGAGTCCGTTCCTCACGAAAAAAGTCATTATAATGTTGGGAAAATGATGTATTGAAACGTATCACTATCTTAGGAAACTACAAACTGGAAAAAGTATAATGATTGATCCATTTCTTGACTACGGAAATACATTTTTTTCGGCTCATTCTGCGCGAAAGTCAACTTTCTATACATCATTGTATTCAGAAAAAAAAAAATTAAAAAAATTACTACGCCATTTGGAAAAAAAGGAGTTAACAATCGAAGTTGAAATTGGTACAAGAAATTGTTAGTGTCATCTTGTAGTATATTCGCATTCTCTATCTGATAAAAGTTTGAATTCTTTCTCGGTTTATTCAACAGAAAACAACTACTTTCCTGGCTATATGCCACGACGAACATTGAATTGTATCTTTTGAACACACACGATGGAAACTTGTTATTTTAATAAACCTCTAGATCGTGATTGGATTTTCTCAATTCAGGTTTTCTTTCCACGCCCTGTATGGTGAAGGCAGGTCAATGCTGTTAATATTGTTGGGTATTCTGTGGCCTGGGAACCAACAACCTAGTTGAATTCAACGCCGCCAAAACTAAAGCCTCTATTTTCTCTAGAAAGGCGGAACAACATATCAATTTGCAAATTTATCATCCAACTGCAACTTGGAAAACTTCAAATGTGTGGCCTACATAAATCACCCTGTATAGCAAAACTGATATTTCAAATTGTACATTTTTCGACATTCATCCTGGTGAGAGCTTCCAAACGGAAAATTCACCTGTTAGAACATTACAAATTATTCAGAAAAATTATTGCCTGGTTTCTTATATGATGGTTTAAAAATTGAATAGGTGTACCTTTTGAATCCTTTTATCATTATGAACTTCAAAATATTTTTCATGTTTTGAATCTATTCAATTAGGAACGTCAAAAATAACTGGGGCTTACAAACATATTATATTGCCCAATTTTTCACTCTAGTTTAACTTAGTTATTATTCAACATCTTCAGTTCGAGCCCGAGATCATTGAAAAATGGTCAACTACTGAAACGAGACAAATTTGAGGTTGAAAGAAATCTACCATTAAAAACTGCTCGACAAATGAAGTGGCCCATCTGAATATTTCACCCAATTCTGGAATCAGATATTCTTCCATGTTGTGTAATAATCGTTCGAGAATGAGATGGTTTACCTACTCTGCCCATGAAGTTTGTGTCTTGAAATATACAGGGGAAATAAAGACCCATTTGCAAAAATGAAAATTTTCAAGTTCAAGGAAAACAATTTTTGAACTTTGTTTTAGGGCACATTATGATTGCTTGATGTGTTTCCGCCCAAACGGTTCCGAGATTTTTCGCTAGCTTACTTTATTAACGCGCAACTTTTTTTTCATAGAAAGTTGTCGATTTTTTTTAAACGTCCTTAATCTCCGCTGATCTGCTGTTCATAACATGAGAGAATTTATTCATGAATTCGATATAGAGACAAAGTCATAACCTCAATTTCTTTAATATTCAGCAAATATCCATCCACAGGGTGATTCGAGATACCAATAAAGAAACGGAAAATTCAGTCATGCGCATATTGTGATCTTGAATACTCTTGATTAACGTAGAATGATTTTCCCACCCCACTCTCACTCAGTGCTTAGTGTGTGCGCATTGCTGTCATGAATTGAAAGTTGCATAGGAATATACAGGGTGAGTCATTGAAATGGAAAAGTGAGATAACGGCTGTTTGAGATAGATGAACAAAATTTTTGTAATGGTCTAGGCCTAGGCTCATGAGCAGCACATTTCCAGAATATTTCGCGTTATACACAGTGACTCAAAAATGCGTGACGTATGGAAGTTATACTTTTTCTTATGAGACACTCCTGCATTTCATTAAATTTTCGGATTCTCCTCAACTCCTTTGGTTTCGTGTATTGGCGTCCCTGACATGACATTGCTGTCACGTCACATTCATATGCGTTAAAATATATCTCTTAAAATTTTAATCTCATACTTGATCTCAATACGACATTATTCAATTCTGTTTCGGAAGTATGGTAAAATGTGCTGCGTTAGGCTGTATCAATCAGTTCGATGGCAAATTTAAATTTGTCAAATTTCCATCAAATGCAAATGAACTTAGAACATGGAAAGTGAAGTGACCGAATGGGGGAAATTGCTATTACATCAGCAAAATATTCGAGGTGAAACTAATACGAAATCACATATTATACTTTCTCATTGTGCCTATAATTATCCACTCCACAAGTTTTTGAATGCATTTTCGTAAAAACAGTTTTGATTAAAACGGAGGATTGAAAGAAGAGGCATATGCTCTACCATTTGAAAAGTTATACCTACATTCAGGAAATATTAAGTGTTCGTGAAAAACTGCAAAAATGATTCCCAACATGAATATATACAGCACACATGACATATGAGCAAATTAGTTGGAATACCTATACATACAATTTTTCACCATTTCTCAACCATAAGGCTTAGTCTGAAATCAAAATCCATTTATTGATAGGTACTACTGCCTAAGAACAGTCCCATTTGGAAACGTATTAAACTTTCAGAAAAATTTGCTTACTGCCTCACAAAAATTATGCTGGAATTGAAAAATAAAAAACTCGAAAATTATCATCATCATCTGGATATAATATGTAGAGTTTCATGGGAAATTACATGTGAAAATTACGTATGATACGCCAATGTCCTCAATATAACCTAAAAAACAACAAATGTCAAAAATCTAGTGTTTATCCCCAGAAATGAATAAAGATGGAACTATATATAACTGTTTCACAAAAACTTTAGAAAGAGAGGAGACGAGGATCGGTCCGTACCCTGTTAAGATGACAACATCAAGAGGGACCCTAGTATTTCCATATTTCCTATAAATCTGATAGTAATATATTATATTTGTTTTGCAGATAACGCCGTACGGAAGCATTCTGCATCGGTGTCGAAACTCTGGATGTTGTGACAAGTACAATGAGAAATGCGAAGCAGTGAGCGAGAGCTACGTGAAGTTAGCCTTCATGATAGATCGTAAACCTATAAGATTCGTCACTGTGAACGCGACCAACCATACAAAGTGTGCCTGCCAAAAAGTGGGGGACAATAATATCAAATAAGTTTTTACACCAACAACTACAGAACACACCGATATTGAATCGTTTTTCTTTACTAGCTTCTGGTTGATAATAAAATTTACCTCATCCATACTCTCTGGAATGTCTCAATTTGATTCTCATTTGACAGCTGTCAATAACAACATGAACTTTTCACAATTTTGGTCACAAAAACCATTATATTAGGAAACGCTGATGTACACAGGGTCATTCACCTAACTAATTCATTAGGAGTGTATAGAGAACCAGAAGAGAGATCAATCTGAAATTTTGGGTACAGCCATTGCATGATGTTATCTATTTTTGTGAAATATTTTCAATTAGCTGTCACTTCCGGTTGAACCGGAACACTCTGTTTATTATTGTATTTTTAGACTTCCCCTGGAGAGCTGATTTCATCAATGTATCACACTTGGGGGTCTAGCGGGAATGATTACAGAAATATAAGGCGTTCAAAATCGAGATTTTTTAACTTCAATTTTTTTTTGTTTTGAAACTATTCATTATTGATCAAAACGACTCACATGTCCCAATCTGAACTTCTGATTTACTATTTACTGATATTTCATCGGGACAGATACAGAGGGTGGTTCAAGATTCAGAATTCTGATCACCCTGTATCTGTTCCGATTGAATATCAGTAAACAGTTAATCGAAAGTTGAGATAGGGACATGCGAGCCGTTTTGGTCGATAATGAATAGTTTCGACACAAACAAATCCTAAAATTGAAGATTCTCGATTTTGAACACCCTATATCTCTGTAATCATTTCCGATAGACCCCTTTTGTGATGTATCGATGAAATCAGGTGTTCAGGGAGAAACTGAAAATGCAATGAAATACAGGGTATTCTATTTGAAATAACAAAGTTGTTGCTACTTTTTTATAGAAGGGGCAACACTGAATTGCTGAAAATATCTTGATTGAAGAGAGCAGCGTATTCTGAAGTGTGTAAGCTCGTCGTGACAAACCCTGTATAGATAGTGTTCCATTTGAAAAAACGAAGTCACTTCCGGTTCAACCGGAAGTAGCTACTTAATTAGAATTATATTTCAGAAAGAACGATAACATCACGCGATGACTGTAACCAAAATGTCAGATTGACAATTCTTTAGGTTCTCTATAAACATCTAATGAATTAGGTGAATGCCCCTGTATAAAGCACGGTACAGAAGTCCATTATCGTCTCACTAAAAGACTTAATTTATTGTTTCCCTTGATGCTGAAACAACTCCGGAAGCTAATATATCTCGGTTTAGAAAAATGTCTTCTGTACCTCTTGGTCTATAATTAAAATTAATCTCTAAGTATTATTTATTGTAATGTGTACTTTCCAATGTGTGATGAAACAATCTGTGATATATTAAAATAAAGTATTTATTTGAAGTTCTATTGTTTTAACGTCGTGTTTATGTTTGATTTCAAACTGATAATGTATTTATACGAACATAAGATATGTTTTTCAAGGTTAAATATACCAAATTTAGGTATCGCACATATCGCCAAGTTCAAAAAGTGGTCGTTCGTAATACATGAATCATCATTCTGAGGAACTAAACTCAGCAATCATGAAATATGTTATTGTTTATCACTACATACAGGATATTTCATTGGGAAAGGTAATTGATTCAACTGTAGATAAATACAGTCAGTCCTCATGAGGCTTATACGAGAGGTAATATAAACGAGACTTCACATATTGGAATGAACGCGTCAATCCAATATGCAATTAGGATTTTTTTGACATGAGAAAACATAATAGCAATAATTGTGAGTATAAGTTAGGCAATCTATATTTATTCTTTCAACGGAATTCGTCAAATATATAGCATCAGGTGAGATATTATAAATTCCTTATGAATCACCCTGTGAAAAAGATGATGCATAAATGAGCATGATAATGATAATGAGGAAAGTTTCCTTCTGAAGACCATGTTGTAGGTGCTAGATTAGTATAAGATGTAATGGTAACAAGTATGCACGAATATATGGCAATTCTGAAGTCTCTTCCATATTACCTCGTATAAGCCTCATGAGGACTGACTGTATTTATCTTCATTAATATGAAAACATTTAATCGAATCTGTGGCAATTCTGCAGTCTCTTTCATATTTCCTTGTATTAACCTCATGAAAAGTTACTATATTTATTCCATTTTCGACAATGACCGACATTATATTTGTTTTTCGGAACATAGCTATTTTCATCACGATCAAACATAATTATTCTTCTTCATCCCAGGACAATCTGGACATATTTTTTATCGCACCTTGTATATCTATCATCAAGAATAAATTAATATAAATTTCATACTTCTGGAACTACAATCGTAATTTTTTGAATTTTATAAATTATCTTAACGAAAATGCATCATTTTGATTAAAAATGCGTACTTTCACTATATGACCTTCAATCCAAGAAATCACAAAATCATTTCGACACCAGACATCCTCATGATGAAGTAACACTTCATTATTCCACTAGTAACACAGAGAAAATTCTGTTTCATCTACTGAAGACTACGTTATTCTCCATTCCATCATTCAGTATTTCTTGTACCACTTTGTATAGACTTTTTCAGAATTTTCTGTGTTCGAACACGATCACATATCCGACGACTATACATACAACGTTGATTCGGAGAAGAATTCCAACTTTCAATTTCATTCAATTAATCGTCGCAAAAATGCACCATTTTGAATGAATATTCATAACACGATTATCAAAGCTCCGAATTCGAAAATTTTGAATCCGTTTCGAGAGAAAGCATCAATCAAGAGGATACAGGTGAGAAAAAAAATTAAAAAAATTATCTGTTCAAACGGTAAGGTGACGACCACGATGCAATTTTACACCCATTCAATTATCACCCTGTAACAATGTTGTCTGAAATTACAGAAGTTTCATATTGCCACAACAAACTGTCAAGAGATTAGGGTAATCATCGCTGTATTTTGGAGCACGACGTTATCAATGTTGAGCAGTTTAGTTGCAGGTCCGTCATCAAAACTATACAGGGCTTTTCACGATGAGCGTTATATAATTAGACGTTTCAACTAAATGTCTCAGTTATCAGTCCCACTAGACCCCGAACGTTGTGAATCGATGAATTCTGCTCTTCAGGAAGAATCCATCAGGGTGTCCATGTGAAAAATCAAAGTTACTGCTACTTTCTAGTAGAAGCGGCAACGCCGGATCGTGTCAAATAATTTGTTAATCTATACATACCTTCGAATTTCAGATTTATCCGTATCCTGGTATAGTTTTGATGACGGACCTGCAACTAGGTTTGGATGGATACAAAGAACGATTTGAAATACTTCTTCTGAATGTAATACTCACGCAGACTGTATAGGAAGTAATAAAATTAATTAATCTTTTCTGATTCCAATTTGTACCCCAAAATTAGCAAAAATACTATTTTGAGCACATAATTTAAGAGCAAACACTACCGCGTCATCACAATCAGTCGAATTTCTTCCTTGCCCCGCGCAGCTCGAGTTTGTAGACATATATCTATCAAGAGCGGTTGTACAGGTGGGGGACTCGTAAACAATTGGCAACGCAGCCTCTGTCCGCAAGATATTCATTATTTCCATTTTAGCTTTTCTTTCTAGTAGCGTCAGTAGGTGCGTTCGGTTTAACAAAATCGGAGCCGAGCGAGCAGATGCAGATTTGGTGTCACGTGATCACCTAGCAGATAGAGCTAATGGTATTTAACGAACGCTCAACGAGGTAGTAAATAGTAGATTGCGAGCGCCAGCTGTCAGAAGTAACAGAAAACAGAAACAATTCACTTAACCTTATTACTTTTAAAAACACGTCAGGGCAACAAAGTTCTTTTGAATGTTTGTTGTTTATATTTTGAAAATTACTAGGGAAGGAATGATTCTGTCTCATATGATCGGTCATTAACTGTGGATCCAGGGCAGTTGTGATCGCATATATTACAGATATATAATTAATATGCTACCTACAGCAAATTCGTCGGTCATTCTGGCGATTCTGGGCAAGGAGGATTCTACAAAATTCAGTTTCGTGTTTCGTTTCCAGTGGATCGAGTCTTCAATTTTTCGACATAAAAGAGATATAATTTCAATAACATGTTGTTGACATTGATTTGTTGACAATTGACAACCGAATAACCGATCAAATCTGAATGATCTGCTCCTCAAGGCGGAGCAAACAGATTACATCTTTCAGCTCGCTCTGACAATTAACGAACACGGAGCAGATTAGACAGAGGAAGTAGATCTGATTTATCGAACGCTTTCCGAGCTAACGGATGGAATCGAGCTAACAGATATGTTATAACCGAACGCACCTTGTGGAAGCGTAGCTGAGATGGGAGCAGTGGCGTCGTTAGGAGCTTACACAAAATATTGTTTCGGTTGCCTTCTTCAGTGCTGATATGTGCTATAATTACTGAACACACGAAGTAGACAGTCGGGATGTTTTACTGAATTACTTAGCAAAAAAAAATAATTGGGAAATTCACGGAAAAAACTCACTTCGCCTTGAAGTATCACTAGAAAGTAGATAATCTGAAAATTCACTAGTAAATGTTCAATAAGTGGGTATTGAACGAAGCTTTGATAATTAAAAACAAAACGGACTTCACAGCTGGTAGCCAGATGAATTTTATTATTACTCTTTCTACCGGGTGGTTACAAGAACCGCGGGCAACCCCTGTAATTTTGATGCCGTTCGAGATAAAAATTTCAGGAACAGCCAGGTTCTCGTGGCCATTACAAAACGATTTTTCTTATTATATTTCATAATTTTGCATGATCCTCAAGTGCTTCCTAGAACATTCTCTGATTTCCAAGCCTCTCCGTACTCTCGGATCTACAAGCTCTGGCAAGAGGCAATTGAAATAAAATATTCTCAATTTGGGAACCATTTCATTTTCCCAGAAGTTATCATGTCTCTAAAAAAATATATTGATGATCTAAAATGTATGACGGAGGATATGATCAATAGTTACCTCTTCTACAAGGCAATCTTTTGGACTCCATATAACGAAGAAACATTTTTCCCTTTTGCGTTATTGCTAATTGCCCTTGGACTTGAAAATAGTAATTATGTTTTCTATTCAGTACTAAGGTGTTGTTTTCGAGTTTGCCGAATTTGATCTTTTTCATCCCAATTTCCTCTTCTGGGCATATGTCCTTGATGTTGAAGGGACACTTTATCTCCACAATGGCATTTTCATCCACCAACCCATCAGGACTGGCACCCAAAAAATATTTTTTATCAATGAAAAATCCACTTTTCCTAACTTTAATATTGTTTTTGACTTCGATGGCAAAAGGTTCGTTCAATTTTCCAAATTCGGTCGCTTTGCTGCCTTTGAATTTCGAATATAATAATCCTTTTATTGTATTAATGCTGCGGGTGTTCGATTTCATTTCTCTTTTCTGGTAGTTCTTTCTCTTTCACTTCTTCGACCCATTTTTCTTTCCACAATTCTCACTTGATTCACTGTCAAAACATGGATGAGCAAGGAGCAAGCACCCAATACTTTATTTACCTACCCTACCCATTGAGGGATTAGGACTTCCAATGAATAATTATTGTTTTCAGGTACGCCTATGAAAACTATTGCATACAACCTAATCTACTAAATGCGACGGTCCGGACGGATTACCAAAATTGGTTGCAAGAAAAAGACAGCAACACCTAATCTTGTCGATTATTAACAATATTCATTTCGCCCTAGGTAGGAAGCTTTTCCAACGTTGCCAATTGGGTCGAGGTTCGTTCGAGAGATATAAAACGACATAGGTGGCAGCGCCAATCAGATACAAATTTCATGATCGTAGAATCGATTTTTCGTGAAAACTATAGCTTTTTTGTGGAAAATGTTTGTTTTGATGGATTCAGAGGCCTCATCTTAGTTCCGGATCTTCATTATTTTTTTCATTTATCAAATTTTTTTTTTGAAAATTATCACATTAAAAAATCAAGGAAGTTCCGGAATTTCGAAAAATGAAATGCATCAGTTGCACTAAGAATTTTTTTTTTGAAAAAAAAACTGAACGCGTAAAACCGATTCCCGTTTTATCAAGGTAGTCCTGTGCACGAATAAAAAGCACATCGTTGAATAGACATTTTGATGCTCTTCCCAGATATGGCAAAGTAATTGAGAAATTAAAATGTATAGGGTTTTATTTTTGGGCAGAAAAAAATTGTGAATCTTAAGTGAAGCCGGCCCTGGATTCTATCTTTTGTTGATGCCTCAATCAATTCGACAGGATAGATTGAGTAAGTGTACCAATCTTCAAGAAATATACAGGTTGGTTGGAAAGTTATGAGACAATAAAGATATGAACAAAGTTGATGAAACATCCCGTATCTATCGGTTATAAGGTTGTCGAAGACCCATTAACCATGGGTTTTTTGAAATCACCTCGGTAACCACTGTCCACAGTTGAATTATTCACCTTTCCCAATGAAACATCGTGTAGATAATTGAGTAATATTTCAAATAAGTTATCACACGACCCGTATTCTCATTTACAAAAAAAAAACAGTATGTTATATCTGCCACAAGACCATAATTTGAAAATAAATATCGTCCTCTTTTCAGAATTTGTCTACAAAGTCGCCTATTCTAGGAAAAATGAATTTATTCCCTAATTTTGCACCTCACTGTGTATACGGTTTGGTAGGTAATTCCTCCCAGATAAGAAAAAAGCCACTATGCAAATAGTATTTTTTCTTCCTGAATAAACTTGTGTTCAATATTGAATCCTATAATTAATATGTTACCCATTATATGAATAATATCATCACATTATTTAATAATATATGACATTAGATTATTTTTCGAGAATGCTAATACCTACATTCACCGCAGATTTGATTAATATGTGTCTATATAATCATCCTTAATAATGATAATCATAGCAAAAATTATGCTTGGTAGAAATTATTAACACTAATAGAATGGCAAGACCTATACAAGAAGTATTTTATTATTGATTTTTGCTATTTGCATATGATTCTTCAGAACATAAAAACTCAAGGTTATTGCAGACAGAAAAAGGTTGAATTTGCATATATGTATAGCTGCAAAAATATGTGAAAAATTATTACGTCCTTATTTCAAAATAATATCCATGCCATGCATTCTGCACAATTGCCAGTGACATAATCATTATGTTTTTAAAGTAACTTTTCATACACAGAGCGTTTCAAAAGAATGCGCAGGTTCCAAGGAACAAGTGTCAAAAAAACGATCAACGTCAATATCGCAAAAATTCTTAAGGATTTTGTTGAAGTTTTGCAATGTTATTCTCTGTAGCAGTATTGGAACATGATTAGATTCACGAAAAATCACAGTTCAAACCTTATATTTAAAAAGCTATGATATGTTTATGAGCATATTTTGTTCCAAAGAATCACCAGTGTAATTTGGCCACATACATAATCAACACCCCCTATATTTTCGTATAATCACTGGGTATATAGGGCGAGGCAATAGCGTGTTCTCCTTCGATATAGGCCAAACTGTCAGATATATGAAAAAAATCAAATACACAGTTATAGGGTTTCATGAGAACTATATCACCCTATAGATATGAAAATAATTTCAGGTGATAGTTCTCATGAATACCTATAACTGTTGTATTCGAATTTTTTCTATATATCTGAGGGTTTGACTAATATCGAAAGAGAACACACTATTGGCCCACCCTGTATAGGTAGGTGAACTGGTGAAAAGAATCACTCTTTTTTTTGTGACATGTATATTTGATCGATATAACCAAAAAAGCCTCTATTCTGTGAACATTTCTATTTGTTACCTACTATAGGTTCTCCCTGGGTATCAAAAAAGCAATAAACACACAAATTTTGCCCCCTTACCAACCCCAGGTGACACCCAAAACCCCCTACGTAGGCGGGATCTCCTTCTCCATCCTAGTCAACTGGATATTTCTGTCTGTAGCCGTGGCCGGGCCGGCAAACTCTCCAGACCTGAGTCGCATCCGCAAATCCAGACAGCGCACGTCCGTCATCAGCGATTGGCTCTTGTCGGCCAGATCCTTGTCGATGGCCACCTGTTGGTCTTCCAGCACGTTGTAGGTCGCTTTGGCACAGTCGATCTTGTCGTTGAGCTCTCGACGCGTTTGGCGCAACTGCAGCACTTCGTCTTTGAGCCCTTTCTCAGTCTCGTCCCTGGCCAGTTCGAATCCGGGCCTGTTACATCAGAAAACACAGTTGATTCGCTGGCATTGAAGGATCAGCTTCAGCTTCAGTTACCTGTAGGACCTGTTCTCCAGTCTGGTTTCGGCAAGCTTCAAAGCATCGTCTTTCGCTCTTAGCGCGTCCTCTAGCGTCCGAATTTCCCTGCTGACAGCCTCCATTTCGGCGCGCATCTTCAGCTGCTGCCACTCGGCTTCGTTGCGTGCCTTTTGCGTCTCATAAATGCGTTTGCGCAGCACGAAATCGACGCGGTCTCGCTGCGCCAGCATGTCGTTTCGTGCTCGTTCGCGCACCACGAACAAGGCTTCGCGCAGCTTCAGCGTGTCGGCGAGCTCGTTGTCGGCCAGCTGCTTCGTGAGACGCGAGTGCTCTAGCCAGCCCTCGTACGGGATCGAGCTGAAACGGGGATGGATCTAAGTTGAAGCTGTTCGAAAGTTGGATTTTTCGAATAGCTTCGTTGTAGGCTCAAGGGCCAGGAAGATCGAGCTGTATACTTCGAAGGAAACTAAAACAGTTCTTGATATTTGAAGCTGAAGCTGTTCGAAAGATAGGTTATACGAACAGCTTCGTTGAATACAGAAGAACCAGGAAAAACCAATAAACTGCATATCACAAAGGAAACTGATCTGTTCTAAATATTTGAGGCTGAAGAGCTGCTCGAGAAGAGTATTTCGAACAGCTTCGTTGAATACTAAAGGGCCAGGAAGATGTAACTATCTGAAACTGAAGCTATTCTTCATAATCAAAGTTGGGTTTTTCGACAGTTTCGTTGAATACTCAAGAACCAGAAATATCTTCGCGCAGCTTCAGCGTGTCGGCGAGCTCGTTGTCGGCCAGCTGCTTCGTGAGACGCGAGTGCTCTAGCCAGCCCTCGTACGGAATCGAGCTGAAACGGGGATCGATCGGAGTTGAAGCTGTTCGAAAGTTGAGTTTTTCGAATAGCTTCGTTGTAGGCTCAAGGGCTAGGAAGATCGAGGTGTGTACCTCGTAGGAAACTGAAACTGTTCTTGATATTTGAGGCTGAAGCTGTTCGAAAGATAGGTTATACGAACAGCTTCGTTGAATACAGAAGAGCCAGAAAAAAACCAATAAGCTGCATATCACAAAGGAAACTGATTTGTTCTGAATATTTGTGGCTGAAGAGCTGCTCGAAAAGAGTATTTCGAACAGCTTCGTTGAATACTAAAGAGCCATATCTAAAACTTCATAATTGAAGTTGGGTTTTTCGAACAGTTTCGTTGATTACTCAAGAACCAGCAATATCTTCGCGGAGCTTCATAGTGTCGACAGTTGGGTTTTTGGAATAGTTTCGTTGAATAGTCAAGGGCAAGGTTAATTGAGGAAATTGAACTGCATATTTCGAAGGAAAGAGGAGTCGCTCTGAATATTTGTCTACGAAGCTGTTCGAAATAGCTTCGTTGAATACTCATGCGCCAGAAAGATGAAACTGTGAATCTTGAAGAAAACTGAACCGAAGCTGTTCATCATATTTGATGTGATGTTTTTCGTTACATAATATGATTATAATAATTATGTATATAATGCCATTCATTTATTGAGATTTTTTAAAAACTTGGAGATAGTGAAGGAATATTTGTAATTTTCATGTATTTTTCATATTGGATCTTTTATATCTTATTCATTGAAGTTTTCAGGATTGGTTTTTCGTGATGAGTTAATTTGCTCTCTATATATTTTAAATAAACTGAATTATTTCATGACGTATCATCGTAATAATATGATTCCAGTCTCAAACGAGTTTTGATTGTGACTAACTAAAAATCAATAATGTCTTCTATGTGCATTATTCTGACTCATTTCCTGCCGCAAACACCTCAAAAGTATAGTGACCGATCAAGAATGTTCAATTTACTTTATATACAGTGTGGCAACATAATGAAACGAACAAAATGAATCTTTAATTGTACTTCCTTGCCAAATAATGAGCTTCTGTTGATCCTTCCTTACATTTGAATTTGCAAATTTCACAATAAATAGGCATGATTTTCGAGTTTCACCCTACAAGGTGATAAAACTTTGAACTCTCATGTTTCCCCAACGAATTGACTCTGAGTCTACCCGTGTATATACAGGAAGGAAACATTCAGACCTTTGAATTTTAAGAATTCTCAAATTATTTCGAGAAGAATCTGAGGATTATTTCGTATTATTATATTCTTAAACAAATTAACTGAGCTAGGAACAACATTTGCCATAAAAAAAGATGAAAAATATAATAATAAATCATTCAGAAAGGTGGAATATGTTGCAGAGGTAAATATTTATGTGTAATCAAATGAAAAAGTAATCAGTGAAACGAATAAATGTTGATGTTTATTCAATAAATACAAAGTATAGATACCTACCTATTAGTTAAATGATGATTTCTATCATGATTACTTTTAAGTATAAAGTATAAACTATATATATTACTTTATTTACATGCTATTTCAATCTCCCTTAATTGGATAATTCCATTTATAGAGAATTCATTTCTAATAAATTTTTTTAAAATGAGAATCATTCAATATTGAAAGCAATGATGAACAAATTGATACATAAATAAATGAACAAACAAATAAGTGGGCAAAAATAGAAATCGGTCATCTGGAAATTTTGTTAAGGAAATGAATACTTATTCAACTATCTTTTGATTATCTTATTGATTTTATTACTCAGAACTAGGACAAAGCACTGTGATAATAATTTTTGAAGCGAGATTAGACATTTCACCAAAACTTATACAGTGTAGTCAACGATATCTTGACTGGATATTTCCAGCAAATAAATCTTTGTTTCCATTGCATATCTGGATTCAGCTCATTTTTACACTGGCTCCCCTGGGAAACACTTTTTTTTTAATTTACTTAAATTTTGCGGACTATGGGTATTTATGCAAGTCAAATCATCTGAATTTATATAAAAATCAATTTATACACCACTGGATATTCCTAGAATATTCTCCAAATATGCTGAAAAGGAGGAGTATATATTCCGAATATTTCCAGAATATATACAGGGTGTTTCAGTTTTTTGAAGCAGGACTTTAACAGATTGAAGAAGACATTTTTTCAAGATGAAAATCTCATACAAACATATATGCGTGGAAGCTTCGTTTCCGATTTTTCTTATGTTTTTTGAATGTTCTCCTACAATTTTCGGAATAATTGATTGAAATTGGGTACACCTAATACACTTCAAAATCCTAATATTTGAGGTTATTGAGCGTTCTTGAATACCTACAGGGTGATAGACTTTCAGGGGTCGTACCCAATTTAACCCTGAAGAACTTTTTTGCGTGCCGACTCTGCTTTCAATGGGCCGTAGATTCAGATTGTCCTTTCAATTTGGAAACTTTTTGCCCTCATGTACATTTTTCGAAAACTGTATGGATCTCGAGATAAATGTCATAAATAAATTACTTGTAATAAAACCGTTATTTCAAACACACTTATTTGACATTTCTCAAACATTTTATTGGAAAATAGAATGACCGAAAGCTTCCATACCAAATGAAATACAGTTGCAAAATTAGATTGAATTTTTTGAACACCATTATAATTGAAACTAGGAAAAACAAAGAAAAAATGTTTTTATTTTAAAAAACTGGATTGCAAAATCTGAAATCAGGGACTGTATGATACACGGTCTAGGCGCTATACATCGCTAGACTGTCGCTTCTGACGGTTGAGGTGTTGTGAGTTTTGATAATTTAATCTCGTGAACGGTAGTTCTAATTTTATCAGTACCCTTAGAAGTGGTTCGGGTTCCACTTTTATTTATCTCGAAATCCATACAGTTTTCGAAAAACATACATGGGGGCAAAAAATTTCCAAATTGCAGAGACAATCTGAATCTATGTCCCATTGAAAGCAGAGGCGGCACGCAAAAAAGTTCTACAGGGTTAAATTGGGTACGACCCCTGAAAGTCTATCACCCTGTAGGTATTCAAGAACGCTCAATAGCCCCAAATATTGAGTTTTTGAAGTGTATTAGGTGTACCAAATTTCAATCAATTATTCCGAAAATTGTAGGAGAAAATTCAAAAAACATTTAAAAAATCTTAAAGTTTGACACCCTGTGAATCGGAAACGAAGCTCCCACGCATATATGTTTGTATGAGATTTTCATCTCAAAAAAATGTCTTCTTCAAGCTGTTAAAGTCCTGCTACAAAAAACTGAAACACCCTGTATACAGGCTGATTCACGGTGGCAAGGCACAATAGACGTGGGATTATTCTGGAAATTTGTTGCCTCAGATAATGAATTGTGCTCTATCGACCTAAAATATTCCCAGCGCTGCGACGTTGCCGCTTATATTGAAAGGTATCGTAGCAACAACTTTTATTTTTTAAATGGTACACCCTGTATATTATTATTATTCCATTTCCAGATTCTCCCTGGAGAGCTTATTTCATCGACTCATAACACTTGGGGTCTAGCAGTGACAATTACAGAGATATAGGGTGTTAAAAATCGAGATATTTCAACTTTTAAGATTTTTTTGTGTCGAAACTATTCATAATTGGTCAAAATGGTTTCCATGTCCCTATCTCAACTTTTTATTTACTATCAATTGATATTTAATTGAAATAGGTACAGGGTGGTTCAGAATTGAGATTTTCAACCAGGGTCTGTATCTATATTTCAATCAAATATCAATTGATAGTACATAAAAAGTTGCGATAGGGACAGTTGAAAAATCTCGATTTTTCACACCCTATATCTTTGTTGTCATTCCCGCTAGACCCCAAGTGTAATAAATCGATGAAATCAGCTCTTTAGGAAGAATATGAAAATGGAATAATATATAAGGTGTCCCATTCAAAGAATTAAAGATGTTGCTACTTTTCAATATAAGCGGGAACGTCGCATTGTTGAGAAAATTTGAGGTCGATAAAACACAAATAATTATTCCAAACATCTTCAAACTCACTATCGCAGCTGCTTTCCATAGTTTATTGCGATAATTGCAACCAAACTTACAAAAATCAAAATGTCAACTAATTTCATGTCAAATAGCTGTCAGCCGATATTTCGATGCTATGGTAATTATCATCTGCATTTATCAAAACCATATATACCGAGATTTTCATAGTTATAGTGACAACAAAGATGTTATACTTCCCAGACTAGTCCGGAAAAATGCTACTTTTATCAAACAGAAAGCGGTTGCCGAAAAGAAATGTTTTTTTGCATTACCCTTTGACAGTTCGCAATGGATCGATTTTGAAAGTGATGTTGGCACAATTCTTGTCCAGAGTTAATTGGTCCTTATCGATTTCCAAGGCCTCAGTTTTATCATTGATATCCAAATTCAGCTGGAACTTGACTTCCTCCAGCTTATTGAGTTTCTCCCACGTAGCTTGGCATCGCTCTTTCAGAAGTTTTTTCACGTTCTCTGCCAAACAAAGCTCCTGAAAAATATCCATTGAACGATTTTCGAGAAATAATAGAATCTGGCTAGACCATATACTTTTTTTAGTTCAGTGTCGCCATCATCGTAGGTCAGTTCTGTCCCTTGTCTGCAATCTCTCATAGAAATGCATTCTGATATCACCCCCAAAGGGATTCCCAGAGCATCAAGTTCTCTTTCGGTGCCAAATTTTTCGTCTTTCAACATACCCAGCTCGGAATTGAGCCTATCTAGACAGGACAACAACGTCTACAAACACAACAAAAAAACATATCGAGATGAAACTGAATTGAATGGATCAGTAGTCCTAGTTATCAATATCGACGTCCCATTTTACTATTATATACATTACACTTCGTTATTTTTTGAACTATTAGACAGGGACATAAAGTCATCAAGAGGATCAGTTTTGGACCAATTTTATTTTTAATTTATACAGGGTGCTACTGCATCGCGAGAACCGCTGATTTGGAAAATCTAAAGGGTTCTTTCTCAAATCTGACATCAAATTCGTTCTTTATGGGTCTGAATTAGTGCCTTTGAATTTTCTGGGATTTGCAGGTCAATCAGGAAAAAATTATTTTTCGACCAGTATAAGCCTCTACTGCATCGAGTGAACCGCTGATTTTGAAAATCTAGAGCAAGGGTTCTTTCTCAAATCTGACATCGAATTCGTTTTTAATGGGTCTGAATTAGTGTCTACGAATTTTTTGGGAATTTTAGGTCAATCAGGAAAAAAATATTTTTCGCGTGAACCGCTGATTTTGAAAATCTAGGGGAAGGGTTCTTCCTCGAATCTGACATCGAATCAATTTTTTATGGGTCTGAATTAGTGCCTATGAATTTTTTGGGATTTTTAGGTCGATCAGGAAAAAAATATTTTTCGACCAGTATAAGCCTACTGCATCGCGTGAACCGCTGATTTTGAAAATCTAGGGGGAGGGTTCTTTCTCAAATCTGACATCGAATTCATTCTTCATGGGTCTGAATTCGTGTCTATGAATTTTTTGGGATTTTTAGGTCGATCAGGAAAAAAATCTTTTTCGACCAGTATAAGCCTACTGCATCGCGTGAACCGCTGATTTTGAAAATCTAGGGAAAAGGTTCTTCCTCGAATCTGACATCAAATTCGTTCATTATGGGTCTGAATTAGTGCCTATGAATTTTTTGGGATTTTTAGGTCGATCAGGAAAAAAATATTTTTCGACCAGTATAAGCCTAACTGCATCGCGTGAACCGCTGATTTTGAAAATCTAGGGGGAGGGTTCTTTCTCAAATCTGACATCGAATTCATTCTTCATGGGTCTGAATTCGTGTCTATGAATTTTTTGGGATTTTTAGGTCGATCAGGAAAAAAATCTTTTTCGACCAGTATAAGCCTACTGCATCGCGTGAACCGCTGATTTTGAAAATCTAGGGAAAAGGTTCTTCCTCGAATCTGACATCAAATTCGTTCATTATGGGTCTGAATTAGTGCCTATGAATTTTTTGGGATTTTTAGGTCGATCAGGAAAAAAATATTTTTCGACCAGTATAAGCCTAACTGCATCGCGTGAATCGCTGATTATTAAATTCTAGGGGAAGGGGTCTTCCTCGAATCTGACATCAAATTCGTTCATTATGGGTCTGAGATAGTGTCTACGAATTTTTTGGGATTTTAAGGTCAATCAGGAAAAAAATATTTTTCGACCAGTATTAGCCTTGCATCGCGTGAACCACTGATTTTGAAAATCTAGGGAAAAGGTTCTTCCTCGAATCTGACATCAAATTCGTTCATTATGGGTCTGAAATAGTGTCTATGAATTTTTTGGTATTTTTTGGTCGATCAGGAAAAAAATATTTTTCGACCGGTATAAGCCTACTGCATCGCGTGAACCGCTGATTTTGAAAATCTAGGGGGAGGGTTCTTTTTCAAATCTGACATCGAATTCATTCTTCATGGGTCTAAATTAGTGTCTATGAATTTTTTTGGGATTTTTAGGTCAATCGGGAAAAAATTATTTTTCGACCGGTATAAGCCTACTGCATCGCGTGATCCGCTGATTTTGAAAATCTAGGGGGAGGGTTCTTTCTCAAATCTGACATCGAATTCATTCTTCATGGGTCTGAATTAGTGTCTATGAATTTTTTGGGATTTTTAGGTCGATCAGGAAAAAAATATTTTTCGACCAGTATAAGCCTCTACTGCATCGCGTGAACCGCTGATTTTGAAAATCTAGGGGGAGGGTTCTTTTTCAAATCTGACATCGAATTCATTCTTCATGGGTCTAAATTAGTGTCTATGAATTTTTTTGGGATTTTTAGGTCAATCGGGAAAAAATTATTTTTCGACCGGTATAAGCCTACTGCATCGCGTGATCCGCTGATTTTGAAAATCTAGGGGGAGGGTTCTTTTTCAAATCTGACATCGAATTCATTCTTCATGGGTCTAAATTAGTGTCTATGAATTTTTTTGGGATTTTTAGGTCAATCGGGAAAAAATTATTTTTCGACCGGTATAAGCCTACTGCATCGCGTGATCCGCTGATTTTGAAAATCTAGGGGGAGGGTTCTTTCTCAAATCTGACATCGAATTCATTCTTCATGGGTCTGAATTAGTGTCTATGAATTTTTTGGGATTTTTAGGTCGATCAGGAAAAAAATATTTTTCGACCAGTATAAGCCTCTACTGCATCGCGTGAACCGCAGATTTTGAAAATCTAGGGGGAGGGTTCTTTTTCAAATCTGACATCGAATTCATTCTTCATGGGTCTAAATTAGTGTCTATGAATTTTTTTGGGATTTTTAGGTCAATCGGGAAAACATTATTTTTCGACCGGTATGAGCCTACTGCATCGCGTGATCCGCTGATTTTGAAAATCTAGGGGGAGGGTTCTTTCTCAAATCTGACATCGAATTCATTCTTCATGGGTCTGAATTAGTGTCTATGAATTTTTTGGGATTTTTAGGTCGATCAGGAAAAAATTATTTTTCGACCAGTATAAGCCTCTACTACATCGCGTGAACCGCTGATTTTGAAAATCTAGGGGAAGGGTTCTTTTTCAAATCTGACATCGAATTCATTCTTCATGGGTCTAAATTAGTGTCTATGAATTTTTTTGGGATTTTTAGGTCAATCGGGAAAAAATTATTTTTCGACCGGTATAAGCCTACTGCATCGCGTGAACCGCTGATTTTGAAAATCTAGGGGGAGGGTTCTTTTTCAAATCTGACATCGAATTCATTCTTCATGGGTCTAAATTAGTGTCTATGAATTTTTTTGGGATTTTTAGGTCAATCGGGAAAAAATTATTTTTCGACCGGTATAAGCCTACTGCATCGCGTGATCCGCTGATTTTGAAAATCTAGGGGGAGGGTTCTTTCTCAAATCTGACATCGAATTCATTCTTCATGGGTCTGAATTAGTGTCTATGAATTTTTTGGGATTTTTAGGTCGATCAGGAAAAAAATATTTTTCGACCAGTATAAGCCTCTACTGCATCGCGTGAACCGCTGATTTTGAAAATCTAGGGGGAGGGTTCTTTTTCAAATCTGACATCGAATTCATTCTTCATGGGTCTAAATTAGTGTCTATGAATTTTTTTGGGATTTTTAGGTCAATCGGGAAAAAATTATTTTTCGACCGGTATAAGCCTACTGCATCGCGTGATCCGCTGATTTTGAAAATCTAGGGGGAGGGTTCTTTCTCAAATCTGACATCGAATTCATTCTTCATGGGTCTGAATTAGTGTCTATGAATTTTTTGGGATTTTTAGGTCGATCAGGAAAAAAATATTTTTCGACCAGTATAAGCCTCTACTGCATCGCGTGAACCGCTGATTTTGAAAATCTAGGGGGAGGGTTCTTTTTCAAATCTGACATCGAATTCATTCTTCATGGGTCTAAATTAGTGTCTATGAATTTTTTTGGGATTTTTAGGTCGATCAGGAAAAAAATATTTTTCGACCAGTATAAGCCTACTGCATCGCGTGATCCGCTGATTTTGAAAATCTAGGGGGAGGGTTCTTCCTCAAATCTGACATCGAATTCATTCTTCATGGGTCTGAATTAGTGTCTATGAATTTTTTGGGATTTTTAGGTCGATCAGGAAAAAAATATTTTTCGACCAGTATAAGCCTCTCTACTGCATCGCGTGATCCGCTGATTTTGAAAATCTAGGGGGAGGGTTCTTTCTCAAATCTGACATCGAATTCATTCTTCATGGGTCTGAATTAGTGTCTATGAATTTTTTGGGATTTTTAGGTCGATCAGGAAAAAAATATTTTTCGACCAGTATAAGCCTCTACTGCATCGCGTGAACCGCTGATTTTAAAAATCTAGGGGGAGGGTTCTTTTTCGAATCTGACATCGAATTCATTCTTCATGGGTCTAAATTAGTGTCTATGAATTTTTTTGGGATTTTTAGGTCAATCGGGAAAAAATTATTTTTCGACCGGTATAAGCCTACTGCATCGCGTGATCCGCTGATTTTGAAAATCTAGGGGGAGGGTTCTTTCTCAAATCTGACATCGAATTCATTCTTCATGGGTCTAAATTAGTGTCTATGAATTTTTTTGGGATTTTTAGGTCAATCGGGAAAAAATTATTTTTCGACCGGTATAAGCCTACTGCATCGCGTGATCCGCTGATTTTGAAAATCTAGGGGGAGGGTTCTTTCTCGAATCTGACATCGAATTCATTCTTCATGGGTCTGAATTAGTGTCTATGAATTTTTTGGGATTTTTAGGTCGATCAGGAAAAAAATATTTTTCGACCAATATAAGCCTCTACTGCATCGCGTGAACCGCTGATTTTGAAAATCTAGGGGGAGGGTTCTTTTTCAAATCTGACATCGAATTCATTCTTCATGGGTCTAAATTAGTGTCTATGAATTTTTTTGGGATTTTTAGGTCAATCGGGAAAAAAATATTTTTCGACCGGTATAAGCCTACTGCATCGCGTGATCCGCTGATTTTGAAAATCTAGGGGGAGAGTTCTTTCTCAAATCTGACATCGAATTCATTCTTCATGGGTCTAAATTAGTGTCTATGAATTTTTTTGGGATTTTTAGGTCAATCGGGAAAAAATTATTTTTCGACCGGTATAAGCCTACTGCATCGCGTGATCCGCTGATTTTGAAAATCTAGGGGGAGGGTTCTTTCTCAAATCTGACATCGAATTCATTCTTCATGGGTCTGAATTAGTGTCTATGAATTTTTTGGGATTTTTAGGTCGATCAGGAAAAAAATATTTTTCGACCAGTATAAGCCTCTACTGCATCGCGTGAACCGCTGATTTTGAAAATCTAGGGGGAGGGTTCTTTTTCAAATCTGACATCGAATTCATTCTTCATGGGTCTAAATTAGTGTCTATGAATTTTTTTGGGATTTTTAGGTCAATCGGGAAAAAATTATTTTTCGACCGGTATAAGCCTACTGCATCGCGTGATCCGCTGATTTTGAAAATCTAGGGGGAGGGTTCTTTCTCAAATCTGACATCGAATTCATTCTTCATGGGTCTGAATTAGTGTCTATGAATTTTTTGGGATTTTTAGGTCGATCAGGAAAAAAATATTTTTCGACCAGTATAAGCCTCTACTGCATCGCGTGAACCGCTGATTTTGAAAATCTAGGGGGAGGGTTCTTTTTCAAATCTGACATCGAATTCATTCTTCATGGGTCTAAATTAGTGTCTATGAATTTTTTTGGGATTTTTAGGTCGATCAGGAAAAAAAAATTTTTCGACCAGTATAAGCCTACTGCATCGCGTGATCCGCTGATTTTGAAAATCTAGGGGGAGGGTTCTTTCTCAAATCTGACATCGAATTCATTCTTCATGGGTCTGAATTAGTGTCTATGAATTTTTTGGGATTTTTAGGTCGATCAGGAAAAAAATATTTTTCGACCAGTATAAGCCTCTCTACTGCATCGCGTGATCCGCTGATTTTGAAAATCTAGGGGGAGGGTTCTTTCTCAAATCTGACATCGAATTCATTCTCCATGGGTCTGAATTAGTGTCTATGAATTTTTTGGGATTTTTAGGTCGATCAGGAAAAAAATATTTTTCGACCAGTATAAGCCTCTACTGCATCGCGTGAACCGCTGATTTTGAAAATCTAGGGGGAGGGTTCTTTTTCAAATCTGACATCGAATTCATTCTTCATGGGTCTAAATTAGTGTCTATGAATTTTTTTGGGATTTTTAGGTCGATCAGGAAAAAAATATTTTTCGACCAGTATAAGCCTACTGCATCGCGTGATCCGCTGATTTTGAAAATCTAGGGGGAGGGTTCTTTCTCAAATCTGACATCGAATTCATTCTTCATGGGTCTGAATTAGTGTCTATGAATTTTTTGGGATTTTTAGGTCGATCAGGAAAAAAATATTTTTCGACCAGTATAAGCCTACTGCATCGCGTGAACCGCTGATTTTGAAAATCTAGGGGGAGGGTTCTTTTTCAAATCTGACATCGAATTCATTCTTCATGGGTCTAAATTAGTGTCTATGAATTTTTTGGGATTTTTAGGTCGATCAGGAAAAAAATATTTTTCGACCAGTATAAGCCTCTACTGCATCGCGTGATCCGCTGATTTTGAAAATCTAGGGGGAGGGTTATTTCTCAAATCTGACATCGAATTCATTCTTCATGGGTCTAAATTAGTGTCTATGAATTTTTTTGGGATTTTTAGGTCAATCGGGAAAAAATTATTTTTCGACCGGTATAAGCCTACTGCATCGCGTGATCCGCTGATTTTGAAAATCTAGGGGGAGGGTTATTTCTCAAATCTGACATCGAATTCATTCTTCATGGGTCTGAATTAGTGTCTATGAATTTTTTGGGATTTTTAGGTCGATCAGGAAAAAAATATTTTTCGACCAGTATAAGCCTACTGCATCGCGTGATCCGCTGATTTTGAAAATCTAGGGGGAGGGTTCTTTCTCAAATCTGACATCGAATTCATTCTTCATGGGTCTGGATTAGTGTCTATGAATTTTTTGGGATTTTTAGGTCAATCAGGAAAAAATTATTTTTCGACCAGTATAAGCCTACTGCATCGCGTAAACCGCTGATTTTGAAAATCTAGGGGAAGGGTTCTTTCTCAAATCTGACATCGAATTCATTCTTCATGGGTCTAAATTAGTGTCTATGAATTTTTTGGGATTTTTAGGTCAATCAGGAAAAAATTTTTTTTCGACCGGTATAAGCCTACTGCATCGCGTGAACCGCTGATTTTGAAAATCTAGGGGGAGGGTTCTTCCTCAAATCTGACATCGAATTCATTGTTCATGGGTCTGGATTAGTGTCTATGAATTTTTTGGGATTTTTAGGTCAATCAGGAAAAAATTATTTTTTGACCAGTATAAGCCTACTGCATCGCGTAAACCGCTGATTTTGATAATCTAGGGGAAGGGTTCTTTCTCAAATCTGACATCGAAGTCATTCTTCATGGGTCTGAATTAGTGTCTATGAATTTTTTGGGATTTTTAGGTCAATCAGGAAAAAAATATTTTTCGACCAGTATAAGCCTCTACTGCATCGCGTGAACCGCTGATTTTGAAAATCTAGGGCAAGGGTTCTTTCTCAAATCTGACATCGAATTCGTTCTTCATGGGTCTAAATTAGTGTCTATGAATTTTTTGGGATTTTTAGGTCAATCAGGAAAAAAAAATTTTTCGACCGGTATAAGCCTACTGCATCGCGTGAACCGCTGATTTTGAAAATCTAGGGGGAGGGTTCTTTCTCAAATCTGACATCGAATTCATTCTTCATGGGTCTGAATTAGTGTCTACGAATTTTTTGGGATTTTTAGGTCGATCAGGAAAAAAATATTTTTCGACCAGTACCTATAAGCCTACTGCATCGCGTGAACCGCTGATTTTGAGAATCTAGGGGGAGGGTTCTTCCTCGAATCTGACGTCAAATTCGTTCATTATGGGTCTGCAATAGTGTCTATGAATTTTTTGGTATTTTTTGGTCGATCATGAAAAAAATATTTTTCGACCAGTATAAGCTTTGCATCGCGTGAACCACTGATTTTGAAAATCTAGGGGATGGTTTCTATCTCGAATTCGACATCAAATTCGTTCATTATGGGTCTGAGATAGTGTCTATGAATTTTTTGGGATTTTTAGGTCAATCAGGAAACAAATATTTTTCGACCAGTATAAGCCTACTGCATCGCGTGAACCACCAAATTCGTTCATTATGGGTATGAATTAGTGCCTATGAATTTTTTGGGAATTTTAGGTCAATCAGGAAAAAAATATTTTTCGACCGGTATAAGTCTACTGCATCGCGGAACCGCTGAATTTGAAAATCTAGGGGAAGATTTCTTTCTCAACTCTGACATCGCATTCGTTCTTTATGGGTCTGAATTAGTGTCTATGAATTTCTTGGGATTTTTAGGTCAATCAGGAAAACATTATTTTTCGACCAGTATAAGCCTGCTACTGCATCGCGTGAACCGCTGATTTTGAAAATTTAGGGCAAGGGTTCTTCATTGAATCTGACATCGAATTCGTTCTTCATGGGTCTGAATTAGTGTCTATGAATTTTTTGGGATTTTCAAGTCGATCAGGAAAAAATTATTTTTCGACCAGTATAAGCCTCTACTGCATCGCGTGAACCGCTGATTTTGAAAATCTAGGGGAAGGGTTCTTTCTCAAATCTGACATCGAATTCATTTTTTGTGGGTCTGAATCAGTATCTACGATACTGTTGGGATTCTTAGGTCAATCAGGAAAAAATTATTTTTCGACCAGTATAAGCCTCTACTGCATCGCGTGAACCGCTGATTTTGAAAATCTAGGGGAAGGGTTCTTTCTCAAATCTGACATCGAATTCATTTTTTGTGGGTCTGAATCAGTATCTACGATACTGTTGGGATTCTTAGGTCAATCAGGAAAAAAATATTTTTCGACCAGTATAAGCCTATACTGCATCGCGTGAACCGCTGATTTTTGAAAATCTAGGGGAAGGGTTCTTTCTCAAATTTGACATCGAATTCGTTCTTAATGGGTCTGAATTAGTACATCAGAAAATGCATCTTGATGCATAAAAGACGTGTACCAAATATCAAAAAGAGGTATACAATATATTGTTTTAGTTATCATAAAAAAAAACTGAATATTTGTATCTCAAAAGTCAAGACTTTTAGGACATACGTTCATATAAAGTTTTCTTCTTAAAATGAGCCAGAGAATCACCTCCTCAAATATTAGCATGTCTTTAAGGAATACCCTGTATAGAAAAACAACGTTTGCGAGGTCTGCTAGTTATATATTCATAAAGAGATAATTCCTAACCTCTCGCCATCTATCCAATTCCGTGACTCTATCGGCCAGTCTGACGTTGTTGTGGTACGTGTCCCACTCAGTTCTGATGTTGGTCTCATTTCTGAGCTGCCTGGACTCATGACGCAGATTGAACGCGTCGTTCCTGCGAGTGTCGTTTGTTTGCTGGTTCTGCCATTGTTTCGCATACCAGTCTGCTAGACCGATGTGGGGTATCGGTTTTTCGAAAGTTACCACCGACATTTAGCACTGAAAATGATGGAAATCCAGATGTGTAGAAGCGATAAAAGACGTTTTTCTGCATTCGGCTCAAAAGTCGTCCATTTTTGTTTCAAAATTTTAGCTCTTGAAGTTGACGTTTCTCTTACTCACACAAGACACAATAACATTAATATGCCTGTTGCTAGGCAACAGTTTTAGTATCTAGGAGCTAAAGTTGACGTTTAACTCATAGGAACTAAAAACGTGTCCGATGGAAGTTTCAATATCTATTTCAATCATATGAGATATAGATTGATACAATGTGCAATTGACTAAATATCTGCAGACAAAGCATGCTGTGGGGTAAACTTGGAGGCATTTTTTAAATGAAATCGAACCTTTTTTTATCTGGCAACTAATTTCTTTAGGAATATTTTCAATGTTTACTGATAAATATGCCTCTCTGTTTTGCCACCAACAAATAAGTTCTCAATCATAACATAATTGCCTGGATTATGAATATTAATATCATATGTATTGCTTTCCCATCTACTATGTTTTATTTTATTTTCATAGAATGAAGCCAAATATAAAAATACTTATATAGATAAAAAATTGCCCATGGAATAAATTTGTGGCACCCTCACCCTGATGTGTAGAAGCGAAGGAGTTTTTTCGAGATTATTATTCATTTCATAGAATGTAGAAGCCAAATATTCAGAAAAAGGTACTCATTGCTGAAAAATTTGCTCACGCAGCATTTTTTACACAATGGGATTGGAGAATGTATCAGTTATTGTTGACCTCCTATGCATTTGATTTTTTTATTCATCTTTTGCACATCAGAGACGTTAGGAATGAGAATACAATTGCAGTTACTACAAAAATTCTGAATTACTTGACAATTTGCTCACATATAGTATATTTTCAACACTCTTTTAGTTCGAAAAACATGTAAGTTTTTCTTGATTTTGCATTTTATCATGCAGAGGGCGGCAAAACTTTTAATTGCATCTTATTCTATACGAGTTTAGGGCTTCTACAGGTCGCATTTATTTTATTCATAAAATAATTCAGGGTGTTACATAATTAGCGTGCAAATATTTTGGCAATAGATTCCACCCTTGTGATTTTATCAAAACCCAGCAAACATCGAAAGGCGGTAGAAAGCCGGGCCCATGGCGAGAACGGCGGGCAAATGTCGATGTCGGCATGCCTCGAAAGGCCCTCCAAATAATTTCGAAGGATTATGTGACGAAGGCAGAATGTACACATACTTATTATAGGCCTCTGTTTCCCAGTCGCTAGTTTTCCGCTGTATGTATCCAAGTCAAAGGGCCATCAAAATTTCAACGGAGTGTGCCATCATCACTCACTCAACGTTGGCATCCCTCGCTCGCGTGAATTTTTATTTTGATCATTTTGCAGTGGTAACAATGATTCAGTATGGCGTATATTGATTTCTTTGTTTATGTTGTCTCAACACTCTCAAAAGAGATTTTAGTACTGTGTTCAGTTATGGTTCAGTTCGTGTTTGGTTTTCTTGTGGATTTTTATACAAAATAGAAGGGAATTGAAATAAATACAGAGTGAGTGAGGAACAAACATATATACAAACTTGCACAGCTAAAAAATTCTATTTTAGATAATAATTTAACAAACACCATTGGACAAACAGATGCAATAATAGTTTGGACGTGTTCAGCGGATACACAAGAATATAATAATTGAGGACTTTGAAGATGCATGAGCTTTCATTACATATGAATCAAAACGAAAATCAAAGATAGCTACTTGAAGAAACAGTTATATTTCAATACTGTAGGTATGTATAAGGTTGCATGTTTTGGATTGGTAGAGAATGAAATCATTCAATCTTTCAGCTACAAAATCAACAACCAGAAGCCCATCAATTACAGATATCAATGAAGAAAGCACACAATGATCCAGACTATATGATATGAATTATTTCATGGTATATGATATCTCACTTCCAGGCAACACTCATATCAATATGATGAAGAGTAAGGTTCTCCATATCTGGAAATTGTTTTCTTGTAGATTGAACTTCATTGTTGACAATAACTTGATCAATATAATAACTGATTACCTACATACCTTTCAAGTTATTAGGTGGGTACATAGGTGATGTAATTTTTGACCTAGAGTTAGCAACTTTTTGAAACAATGAGGATACAGAGTGATATGTAGAACTAGAATTAAGATGTTTGATGTTTCCATAGTTGTGATATGTATTGGTTGTGATCATGGCAATAATATACACACATGGATATTTTCAGTTCTTGTTTTTGTATGGGGTATTTATACTGCTAGTTTCCTGGAAATAACTGTGATTTCAGAATCTCAGAGATTTTTATGTAATTATTCAACAACTTCAGGTAAGGAGTGAATTCCACATTTCTGTTTTACCCAGAGGATTCACAAAAAACTCGGAGACCTCAATTCTGTTTTTTGAAGTTCCACATTTTTCAACCAGTTTGAAAATAAAGAGAGAGTGATGCAAATCTGAGTGAAAATGAGATACGTTGCTTTCCAAGTGGTGATATAAACTGAAATACCTATCAAAAAACCTATTTTCACTGAGATATGTGCATTACCCTATATAATCTTTGACAAACCTAGTTGAAAAATGGGACATCAAAAAACAGAATACTATGAATATTGAATTCATTCAACCCCGTTAACCAACGGCCCTGAAAGACTCCTCTATCGGGGGAATGAAAATACTTAAGTGGCCAATTAATGGCAGTCTCTGAAAAGTCTCAATCGGGCCGAAGATATGCCATGAATGCAGTACATTTGAGTACTTGCCTCTGCCCACCAGAAGCCCTGCAACGTAATAAGCGGCATACTGATGGCTCTAGTGAGGCGGTCGGCTGTCGGCCGCCGGGACACGGGCTAGCCGGCCCAATTTAGTTGTACAATAGAGGACCGCTGTTACCGCTCGCCGGCAAGTTTCATTGTACCTTTGGAGGGCCGCAAAAATCATGTTTGCTGGGAAATATCTAAATCTCATGCACAATCTTCAATTTAGGACTCCAAGCCGATTCGATTAGGTACATTTCTGAATTGAGCATGAAAATATTGAAAATCAAAATTTACATACAAAATTGTATTGTTGTACCTTATATAGAGGCTTGAACATAAATTAAAAATACAGTCTGAAGGTTCAATAAGTTTACACTTTCAATACATCGGTATAAGTACCTACCAGTAAGGTAAATATATTATATTCATACAATTATCACGAATCTGTCTCTTTCAAGCGATTCTGCATCTTCAAAGTATATAGGTATAAATTTGTTTAGTTTAGTCTTTTGAACGTATTTTTCTGAGATGTTTTTCAACTATATGGGTTGATTTTCTTGAATGTCACTGATTTTCAGAAAGTATATAGAAGCATATTTTGGTGAATACTCATTTCATGCTAAAGACAGAGAAATCTGTTATGAATTGAATAATAATATACGTATCGAAAACAGAACCCAGTATTTTTTCAATGAATTTGTCCAATGTGAACGTAGCCAAAGATAACTGACTATTAATTGATTTTGATTGGGTTCTGCTTGTAGCGTGCGGTTTTTAATCCATTTTTATGAGGATTTAATTCCTTCTATAATGAACTTACTATAGTTTTTCTGTCTCTTTGAATATTATAATTTAAAAATGGCCTCCAAATGAATTCTGTATCAAAGATGCATGAGGCTTCACCTGATTAAATTTGAACTATATTGTTTTTTTCTCATACGGCAATAAATACTTTGAATGAAATGAAAATACATACCAAAAGTTCGTGCCTTATTCTCCAATATTCCTGAATTTGGAAGTGAAAAATAATAACTGAAAGTATCAAGACAGTATTGAAACAATTCTGGAAATAAAAATAGGTAATTCGAATTTATAAGGAAGTTTCAATGACATGTATTGACAAAACTTGTCATAGTAACGTAGAATATATTATTCCCAAATAATAATAATGACAATGTATTGATTGACTGGAAAGATGTCTTGAATATTTGGTATGAGCACCACTTTGAAAAGGATTTTTCTTTTCAATTATAACTGCTCATACATTCGAGAGATGATTTTGATTTAGTGACAATTTTTACAATCCTATAATTTGATTTTTCATTATTCAAAGTGAAATATAACTGTTCCAATTCACCCTTCCTGCTAAACATTGATATTAAATATGGTTATATATTTTTTTAATCAACAAAAACCATTATATTACGTACATATATGTATATACCCCTGAAAGGACTGTAGGCAATCTCAGGACATATTCCTGAGCACAAAATAAGGCGATTTGAAGCAATTCACCTCAGTCCGAAATTGCTCTGTTTCTGAGATACAGGGTGGTGAAGATAAAAATTTAAAATCTACAAGTTCACATGCTCATTCACTGACGAAATAACATCAACGAATATAACAGCAAAAAAAATTTATTCGAAATAATTTAAATCTTCCGTTGCGCCAGTATATTTTTAACATCTTTCTAATATCTACCATAAATATTCCCTTACATTTGAATTAACTAAGAAATAAACCTAGGTAATTTGGGTGATCAGAATTCTGAATCTTGAAGCACCCTGTATTTTTTCCAATTAAATTCCAGTAGATAGTGTATCAAAAGTTAAGATAGGGACATGTGAGCCGTTTTGATCGATAATGAATAGAAAAAATCCTAAAATTGAAAAATCTCGATTTTGAACACCCTATATCTCTGTTATCATATTCCTGTTAGACTCCAATAAAAGTGTGATACATTGATGAAATCAGCTCTTCAGGAAGAATCTGAAAATGCAATAAAATACAGGGTGTTTCATTTGAACTAACAAAGTTGCTAGTTGTTTCTGCTACAGTGGCAACACTGTATCGATGAAAATATTTTAGATGGATAGAGAATGTTCAATTATCAAAGAATGCCAATTTTCAGAATCTCTTTTCATTCTCCAGATACCTAATAGGCCAGCCACCGTGGATCACCCTGTATAGGCATGGTTGATTGCCCAGCATTGGCTTTCTTAAAGATTGAGTAAACAAATTTGATATCTTTTCCGGTAACACCAAAGTCAATGAAACGATGAAGGCCCAATACCTATTTGCTCCACTGGCAAAGTGACTACAAGATTGTGAAAGGCCAACAGATTTTTGCCGTTGAAATCATTTCCCCAACAAAGAAAGCATTGGGCCAATAACTTCCTGGTTTAATCTATGGTTGGGCATACTTGTAATGAATGGAGAGTGAAATAAAATCTAATACTTCAAAAGTATATTTGATAATAACTAACATATAAATAATAAACATAATATTTCAATATCTATATACATTTGAAAGTGATATTTCCATCAGAAAAATCAAATTTGAAACTGTAAGGTACCTCCTTGTCAGTTCTACCAGAGAAGAGGCAAACACCCTGTCTAGTGTACATATCCCAATGGATTTTTTCTCCCACTTGGATAGGAAGAACCGGTCCTGTTGTCACAGTGCTTTTTGGTGAATCATCCAAATTCCAGTCCACCCACAGAGCTATACCATTGCAGTCCAAATCACTGAAATATTTACTATCATTACTGCCTGTGTATTATATTGATGCAGTAAAGCTATTTTATTGACTTAAAAGATCCAGAAAATTGTATTTACTGACTGTCTAGATGCAGTAGTGCCTTCATTGAAGAAGTAAAGATATTCAACTGCATGTATAGATGCTATTTAACAGTCTGTAGGATCAGCAAAGATATTTAATTGCAATAGAGCTATTCTGCTGCTTGAGTGAATGCAGCATTGTTATTTTACTGGCAATATAGACACAGTAGAATTATTTCACTGCCTTTATAGAGGAAGTAAAGCTATTTTGCTGCATGTATAGATGCAATGAAATATTTTGCTGCTGATATGTGTACAGTAAAGCTATTACAGTATTACAGCTATTTTAATGCCTGTATAGATACAGTTAAGCTATTCAACTACTTTTATACTTATAGTAGAGCTATTATATTGCCTGTATAGGGACAGTAAACCTATTTTCCCTTATTGAAGTTATTATTTATTTTATTTTAAAGCACGTTACGAGGGGATACAGCTATTTTACTGCCTGTATGTAGCAAAACTATTAACTGCTTTGAAGATCCAGTAGAGCTATTTTAATGCAGGTACTTATAGATGAAGTTAAGGCAGCAGAGCTATTTTCCTGCCTGTCAAGCTATTTTATTGCCTGTATGGAGACATTAATGCTTTTTTATTCAATGCGTAGATGCATCACAGCTATTTTAATGTCTGCATAGATGCAGTGAAGTTATTTAACTAGGCGGTAAACTTATTTTCCGTTACTTCAGTTATAATTTATTTTATTTTGAAGCATGTAAAGAGGGGGTACAGCTATTTTACTGCCTGTATGTAGCAAAACTATCAACTGCTCAGAAGATGCAGTACAGCTATTTTACTGCAGGTACCTATACCTAAACATGAGGCAGCAGAGTAATTTCCTGCCTGTGAAGCTATATTATTGCCTGTATGGACAGTAAAGCTTTTTATTGAATGTATAGATGCATCACAGCTATTTTATTATCTGCATAGATGCAGGGAAGTTATTTAACTACTTGTATACTTACAGTAGAGCTATTGTATTACCTGTATAGGGGCAGTAAACCTATTTCCATTATTTTAGTTATTATTTATTTTATTTTAAAGCATGTTAAGAGGGGGTACAGCTATTTTACTGCCTGTATACAGCAAAACTATTAACTGCTTTGAAGATGCAGTACAGCTATTTTACTGCAGGTACCTATACATAAAGTTAAGGCAGCAGAGTCATTTTCCTGCCTGTCAAGCTATTTTATTGCCTGTATGGAGACAGTAAAGCTTTTTTATTGAATGTATAGATGCATCACAACTATTTTAATGCCTGCATAGATGCAGTGAAGCTATTTAACTACTTGTATACTTATAGTAGTGCCCTTTTATTGCCTGCATAGGGGCACTAAACCTATTGTCCGTTATTTCAGCTATTATTTATTTCATGTTATTTTAAAGCATGTGAAGAGGAGGTACAGCTATTTTACTAACTGTATGTAGCAAAACTGTTAACTGAAGTAACAGCAGCAGAGCTATTTTACTGCCTGGCAAGCTATTTTATTGCCTGTATGGAGAGAGTAACGTTTTTTTTTATCAAATGTATAGATGCATCACAGCTATTTCAATGTCTGCATAGATCGAGGGGTAAATCTCCAGGAAAAATGTGTACACCAGACTTCCAATGACCAAAGACTTCCAAAGACTCCCAAAGACTTTCAAAGACTCCCAAAGACTCCCAAAGACTTTCAAAGACTTTCAAAGACTTCCAAAGACATCCAAAGACATCCAAAGACATCCAAAAACATCCAAAAACATCCAAAGACTTCCAGAGACATCCAAAGAATTCCAAAGACTTCCAACGGAGTGTACACCAGACTTCCAAGGAGATTTACCCCTCGGCATAGATGGAGTGAAGCTATTTTACTACTTGTAGGTATACTTACAGTAGTGCCCTTTTATTGTCCGTTATTTTAGCTATTATTTACTTTATGTTATTTTGAAGCATGCCAAGAGGAGGTACAGCTATTTTACTGCCTGTATGTATCTGCTTTGAAGATGCAGTACAGCTATGTTACTGCAGATATTTATACATAAAGTGAAACTATTCTAATGCATTTATAGAGGCAGCAGAGCTTTTTTCCTGTCTGTCAAACTATTTTAGTAGTAGTACAGCTTTTTTATCACAGCTATTTCAATGCCTGTATAGATGTAGGAGAGTTATTTTACTACTTGTATGATTAGAGTAGCAGAAGAGTTTTAATTAAAAAAATTCAGAATAAGTGTTTCTACCTTACCCTTGAATTAGAAATGTTCCTTTCTCTTCTAATGATTCACCACAAAGATTGGTCAGATCTATGGTTGCTATTTCTATTTCTGTGCTGAGGGCATAGCCAGGGTACTCCCAGAGAGGTTGGGCTTCTAAATTATCATCACTTACATTACTGGATTCCTGTATAAAATTAATTATATAATATTTTATTACAAAAATGATTAATGATGGAAAATAAACAGTAACAAAATTCCATGGATAGACCCAAGCAAAACATTATTGAGTACTTATCAACATGATTGCTAATAGTAAATTACTTTGGTGATGTAACAAGTCAAGTATGTACTGAAATAGAAAGAAAAATCTAATATTGATCTAATGCTAATCAAATCTGTTGTGATTTGTTTTGGAAAGTTTTGGTGTAGATGTGTTTTATGCAGTTTTTTGAAAATTTTTGCACCAAATTTGTTGTTTCATGGTTTTTTTTTTTTATACATACCTCGATGAGATCATCAAAACTTTTCATGAGAAATCCTTCACAAGTCCCCAGGGATGACCTTATTTTGTACAGATCTTTGAAATGAATAGCCACACCTTTGATGATGGCTTTCTTTGGAAATATACTGACATTATTCCTTAAATAATTCTTCAACCCTTTCAAATTGTACAAGAATTGTAAATTGTCCCATGGCAGAATTGTGCTAGTGTAGTATGGTTCACCTAAGACTATATCAATATTCTTCAAATCCAATTCTTCAAGTTTTTCTAAAGATGCTAGAACTTCCACATTCTGAATATCATTAGACTTTATGTACTCTTGTAAGATCTGCTTGGAAATATGATTTGTTTCCATAAAATATATTCGTTTGGCCCCAAACTTGGCTGCTGCTAAAGCAAAGTAGCAACCATCACTCAAAACAAGTACTGTGCTTTCTTTATTCACATATTTCTCCAGTAGAGAGATAAACTTTTTGTTCCTTTTCGCATCATTCATTTGACCAATTCTAGTCCTGGAGAAATTCACATGCAAACCACATTCACAAACAGGATTCAGATAATGCAGATCAGATATCTTCAAATCTTCCACTAAGTTGAACCACAGTGAGTATTCATCATGACAACTTATCAAGCTGATTTCTTGATCTTTCCGGACCCTCACTTCCCTTGGAAGATAATACACTGCTTGCATCCAATGATCCCTCCAAGGAACTTCCACATCACCCTGTATTTTGTTCAAAGGGTGGGCCCACTGAGGGGCACAACTCAATATTACTTTACCTTCAGTGTCCATCTGGAGCTCCCACCACATGAAAACTGCTTGAGCTTTCCCTTCCCTCTCAGACCTGACAGTATTTATGGTGGATCTTTCATAAACAAATGGTGTCCTGCCAGACCAATCGAATCTAAGTACTGGCAAGGGAGAGACAATGGTGTTTATAGAATGTCTAGGCAGTTGGCTCATTTGTATATCATGTACTGCTGCTGTACCTGCACAATTTTTTATGGCATCAGGGACTCTTATGAGAAGCTCACCATTGTCATCAAAAATATCCTTGAGTTTGTTCCAGGTTTGGGCTAAGGGACATTCTACCACTTGAGCATATATTGTAGCTGAATCAGGCACCACAATACAGTCTTTTTCTAGAAGGTTTTTGTGGGCATGACTGAAAGTAGACAGAGCACCTTCACCTATCAGTTCTGTATCAAATACTTCTGTAACTAATATGTTACAACGTTCCTTCATATCACCTTGTTCACCAACAATCAATTCTGTGGACCTTTTGTGAACCACTTTGATCTTATCTTGGTGTCCGTTGATTTGTAAAATTTTCAGGGCACATTGTGCCATTGGTTTGAAGGCTTCACAAGCTACCACTGAATCTGCACCATTTCTAACAGCCATCATTGAGAGCAACCCTGTTCCTGTACCTATGTCCAAAACGTTGGCTTTCTTGCCCTTAGAATGCATTTTTTGTATTGCCGCCTTCAAAGCTTTCTCGTAGAGTTGGTTTCTTTCGGTATCATGCAACATGTCTGCAAAAGACGATCTAGCAACTTCTTGATGGTAGTCGTAGTCCTCATTTTGGACTATCCAGTCGTTAGCGCCGGTCATTGGGTTCAGTTTTTGAATGAATACACTCATATTGGAGGTTTTTTGGAGGAAACGGCAGACAACATTCGGTAAAAATGTTATGGTAAACATAAAAGGTTATGTTTGGTTATGTTTTGAATGTTTTGATACCTTGGATTTGAAATAACATTTTGACAATATTTCTTCATGCGATTATAGGACTTTCATTACATGTTGATGTGTTGGTTGCCTAACAGTAGGAGCGGATAGTATTAGATGCCTCTCCTCTAGAAGTTAGCATTATCACTGCAGTCTTCAAGGTTTCCTTTACTTTTCGACAGAGAAGTATAGAAATCATTTTGCATCCTTTTCATCATGTATCACAAATTTCTATCGTTTGTAATTGAGAAATTACATGTTTATAATTTCTGACATATAACTGTCTTGTATTTTGAATTTTCCCGCAATTATTTTGATTGTACGAAGCGGAAGTACCCCTCCTAGAGACGTTGGCGTCGGTGTCATGGCGAAATGCGCAATATCTCACTTCCGTCCTTCCCATTTCGTCACTGACCGTTGAGCCTGTGCTAGTGTTGTGTGTTAGCTCCAATGACTTTTTTAAAAAATAGCAGCAAAAATGGCTAACAATAATAATATGTTGCAACTATGTAGACTGTGTTTAGTTAAGGACGATGTTAATATTCCAATTTTTGAGGAACAAGGTGATATTAGGCAAATATTTCTAAAAATTAGTTCGTGTCTACCGGTGAAGGTAAGTTGGCGTCACCCGCCATGTTGCTATGTACTTCTTGATAGTTGATATTCGACAGAATTTTATTTTTTGACATCCATTCGGTGTTTACTAAACAAGTTTTTTTATAATAAACTGCTCGACAATGATGATGATTACTTTTCCAAGACTGAATTATTTTTTCTTTTTATTTATTTTCGATTTTATTTGGTGATGCATATACTAGGCGTTGGCCATTTTGATGTGTTCATTATACCATGAAAACAGATAGATTCATTTTTTTGGATTTTTATGTTATATTTGTCTTTTCTGTTATTATAGTAACCTCCCCTTTTTGTGTTTCAACTAGGTAAATTTTATTTTGTCTATCCATTATGGATTTGGAAAATCAATATACAGGGTGGAGTAGGAGTGGTGGGGTGTTGAGGGGATATATACAAGTGACCTTCAATGTGTTTACACGCCAACAAAGCACTTGGTTACAATATTAACTGCGTTTCAATCTATTGCAACTCCATTCTCAGCATTGGGCATTTATTTAAAGGGTGCCTTCTGTTGTATTTTATCAAATTATGAAATTGTAACTATTCATTATCAATTACGGGAATTTGAAAATTAGGAGAGAAAGCAGAGCTGATGTGTCAAGAGGAAGTGGTCGCCATTTTGTTGTGCTCTGGTTCTAGAATCTAGAGACAGATTCTACTTGCCACATGGTTCATCAATGTTGTTCTTCCTGTTTGGACAATTCAAAACATCCAATTACAACTACAGTGTACCTATATACCTTACCCTAATGAGTAATGGATAGTTACACAAGCATCCAGTATATTACTGATGGGGAATTAATTACCATTTTTGTTTGACCAGTATTTTCCGTTATGAAATTACATACCATGTTGAGGTGTTGAGTTCAACATTATGTTCTATCTTTGACTTGAAAACATTCATTTGATTGCCCCATTATCCTGCAGCAAAAGTAAATTCAATATTTTTGACTGCTCCCAACTGGGCATATAGAAATAACAGATTTTTTCGCAGTTTCTTCTCTATTCTGGAATATTCTGTAGCCCATGAATCTGTACAGTCAATTTGGGATAGTTAAAAATTATATCAAGACATTTGATTTACACAATACACAATAATTACGGAAGATACAGTTGTGGTCCCTATAAGTGAAACAAATTTGAATTTTTCAGAATAGCACAATTTTTAGAACACAATAATTGTATCTGTAGTAAATTTGTTGTACCTATCAGTTTTGAATTCAAGGAGAATTCCAATCTTGCTTCCTTTTATGATTTTTTCAAATTAGCAAGTATTTTCAACACTTCCAGGTGGAAAAATGAAAACAAAAAACAAATGACCATTGAGGTTCTGAGTTCTGTCTCTAAAAATTTCGAATTTTAGATGAAAAAACATGTGAAATTATTTTATTTTTCCTTTCTCAACTCAATTTGAATGAATTCATTTTCAGCCAAATTTTCTATTTATGAAAAATCTTCTGAAACAGGTTGATTTGAATGTCAATTTGCCACATTTATTCTTGGAAATTGAATACCTAGTATACCAAATCATCCACATTTGAGTAATGATGTTCTGTACAATTTTTTCAAATGGAACACCCTATATATTATAGTAATGCCGTTCTGGACAATTCTTGTATACAGTTCATTGAATTCGGTAAAGTAGTGGATACATTTGTGAAAAAAAAACGAATAATTTTTGGAAAAACGCTCAACGTTCAAAGTTTTTCAGCGTTTGGGCATATTCTTCCAAATGAATTAATGATTGATTTTTGAATTTAGCTTTCCAAGGGAATTCCAAAATTTTAATCATATAATATCTGGTCCCGTTCCATTTGAAAAAATGTTAACGGACGTCAAAACAATGGGAATCAACCTGTACATCTAATTTTCCCATAAAAATGTGGCAAGTTGGGATTGCTCATGACGAATAATTATTTATTTACCCCTTTCTCAAATTTTTGTCTTGTTAAAATTTTGAATCCTATGTCTGAATTTTTGAAATTATGGTTTTGATGGCAATATTGATTTTGCGGAAAATATTTTCCTTGATTGCAGTGAATAATGAATGGCAATTTTATAGGTCATATTCAGAAGGATACAAGGCTGTATAAGTTTTAATTTTGCAAAACCACTAAAGTAAATTTTATACAAGATACATTTTGTTTTCTCTACACTTCCAAAAATTCAAAAAATCCTTTCAGAACAAACGTGATCCTGATCATTTTAACAATGTTTACACTGCTACCAAACAATAAGAAAATATAAGAAAGGGCATCTACATCCTTCAAAAATGAGTGACTGGAACTGCTTATATTTCAACAAAAATAGCATTACATCACTGGATGAGTCACTTGAGTGTATTATTTCTGTTATATACAGTTCAAAATTATTTCATTCAACAAGGAATTCAATGATTCATACCTATAGTATAGATGATTCCTTATATATCTGGTTTCTTTATTTGTCATTGTGATTTGTCACCTGACACTAAGGAATACTGAATAGTTGGTCAAACCGGTCGACAACCAAAAACTCTACCTATTCTTTACTACTAAACTACCTGAAGTATTTCACTTGAAGTGAACTGTATCAGAACATGCATTTTATGGAATTGAAGTCTGGAAATAATGCATAATATCTACTACCTCAGTAGATACTCAGTTTGCAACAACATATACACATTTTCTCCTATAATATCTATCCTATAGGTTTCAAAATCACATAATGAGTCAGTAAGAATAAAATCAAAATTTACACCAGCTGATGATAGTGACGAGTACGCCATGTTGTGACGTCACGTGACAGTACCCTATTCATTCAAAGTCCAACTGTTTTTCTAATCGTTTTTATTTGTATTTCTGGAATCTCAATAGAGAAGTATAGCCTACAACTAATTTGGAATATCGGCAATTCCAATACTTGTAGAATAGTTATAGTATATCCGACATTTCTTGGAATAATAATTATTGATGAATCCATTAGCTTTCATTGAACTTGAAGAGTTTTCCCAGGCAATTTTCCTTTTCATATTCCAACTTTGTCTAAACAATCCAACCCAACTGACCCATTCCCTCGACTTTCTTCCAGGTATCCCGCGAAGACCGACTGCCTAAAAAAATTTGTGATGGATGTTCCTACAAGCTGGACATGCTGTACGAGTTCTGGAACACGAGCGCCAATGCGGAAAAACAGCTCCTCTCGTGGCTCGGCGAGGCCGGAGTGTCGTCCAAGATGGCGGACGGCGCCATCTCCGCCGTGGCGCAGCAGATGCGGCCGGCGGAGGCTTGCGTGAAAGAGGAGACTCTGGAGCCCGAGCACCATCTGCACGGGGAGGAGGACGACAAAGACTACCTGTTTGAGCAGCAGCGGGTCGTAGAGGTGAGAAAACGTCGAAAAACGCGGCGAAAAAATTATGGGCGAGTGGTATTCGGGAAGATTATTTGCTGAATTTTGGAAATTATACAGAATGAGTGGTATTTCTATGGTTATCTTGCGATTTCTCTTAGAAATTGTCAAAACGAGTGGTGTTTGGATAGATTATTTTCATCGCTTTTTAAAAATTTCAAACACAAGGGAAAGATGATGACAAGGAGAAATTTTTCGAGCAGGAGCGGGTCGTAGAGGTGAGAAAACGTCGAAAAACGCGTCGAAAAAATTATGGGCGAGTGGTATTCGGAAAGATTATTTGCTGAATTTTGAAAATTTCCTAGAATGAGTGGTATTTCTATGGTTATCTTGCGATTTCTCTTAAAAATTGTCAAAACGAGTGGTGTTTGGATAGATTATTTTCATCGCTTTTTAAAAATTTCAAACACAAGGGAAAGATGATGACAAGGAGTACTTTTTCGAGCAGCAGCGGGTCGTAGAGGTGAGAAAACGTCGAAAAACGCGTCGAAAAAATTATGGGCGAGTGGTATTCGGAAAGATTATTTGCTGAATTTTGGAAATTTTCTAGAATGAGTGGTATTTCTATGGTTATCTTGCGATTTCTTTTAGAAATTGTCAAAACGAGTGGTGTTTGGATAGATTATTTTTACCGCTTTTTAAAAATTTCAAACACAAGGGAAAGATGATGACAAGGAGTACTTTTTCGAGCAGCAGCGGGTCGTAGAGGTGAGAAAACGTCGAAAAAATTATGGGCGAGTGGTATTCGGGAAGATTATTTGCTGAATTTTGGAAATTTTCTAGAATGAGTGGTATTTCTATGGTTATCTTGCGATTTCTTTTAGAAATTGTCAAAACGAGTGGTGTTTGGATAGATTTTTTTTACCGCGTTTTTAAAATATCAAACACAAGGGGAAGAGGACGACGATGACTTCTTTTTTGAGCAGCTGCGAGTTGAGGAGGTCAGAAGACGTCGAAAAAACGGGTTGAATGAATTTTGGGCGAGTGGTATTCGGGAAGATTATTTACTGAATTGCAGAAACTATCTAGAATGAGTGGTATTTGGATGGCTATGAAGCGGTTTCCTTTAGAAACGTCAGAACAAGTGGTGTTTGGATAGATTATTACCGATTTTTAAAAATATGTCACAAATATGGGGAGGAGGACGACAAGGACTACCTTTTCGAGCGGCAGCGGCTTGTAGATGTGAGAAAACATCGAAAAAACGCGTCGAAAAGATTATGGACGAGTGGTATTCGGGAAGATTATTTACTGAATTGCTGAAACTATCCAGAATGAGTGGTATTTGGATGGCTATGAAGCGGTTTCTTTTAGAAACGGCAGAACAAGTGGTGTTTGGATAGATTATTACCAATTTTTAAAAATATGTCAAAAACATGGGAAGGAAGACGACAAGGACTACCTTTTCGAGCGGCAGCGGCTTGTAGATGTGAGAAAACGTCGAAAAAACGTGTCGAAAAGATTATGGGCGAGTGGTATTCGGGAAGATTATTTACTGAATTATTGAAACTATTTAGAATGCGTGATATTTGGATGGCTATCTAGCGATTTCCTTTTGAAATGTCAGAATGAATGGTGTTTGAAAAAGGTCAAAACAAGTTGAGGAGGACGACAAGGACTACTTTTTCGGGCAGCAGCGTGTCGAAGAGGTGAGAAAACGTCGCTAAAACACGTTGAATTGATTATGGGCGAGTGGTATTTGAAAAGCTTATTTACCGAATTCAAGAACGTGCGGTATTTGACAAGATTATTTACTGATTCCATGGAAACTCGCCTGACGATGTTTTTCTTTGTTTTTCCAGGCGGCTGCTGCTGCCGGCCCATCGGCGACGGTTACCTCCAACGATGAGGAGGAACCTCCACCAAAAAGGGCTCGACGGACGGCCGCCGTTAAGGCGGCCATCGCGATGGATCAGGACAGTGACGATGATGATGATTCGGGAGAACCACTGACCAAGGTAAATAAAAATAATTGAATAAATGTGCGTTGATACAAGGAGTTTATTTTAATTTTTATATCAGTCCATAATTACACTTTCAGTATATATTTTTGCCCAATGCTTGACAGCAAAAGTAGAACTAATATTTTTGATTGTTTTCAATTGGGCATAAAACAATATCAGAGTTTTTCGCAGAATTTGTATCTTTTATGATTCCTTCTGTAGCCCAATTCTCTGTACAATCCAAATTGACAATTTTGCATAATGGTAGTCCTAGAAGAGATTGAAAATTAACTTTGGTACCTTAAATTGATCTGATTTTGACTATTTACTCACCAATTTTCTTTAGAAAGTGAGGAATAATTTGTATTTTTCCGGATTTTCAGAATTTTGCCGAATATCTTGTATTCAGACAAATGTTGATCGAATAGTTATTGATATTCATTCATAGCAGCAAGAATATTAATGATATTCAGTATTCCTTCTAATACACAAGATTGAATTAGTGGATTCAGTACAAATCAATGGCCAAAATGTTTTTAATATTCTCATTCAGACGAATGAACAGTGCTGAATTCTCGGTGTTCGGGCAAACATGGTCGAATAAAATTGACCTATTGGCCAGTATTTGGCCGAAAGAATAAAGTTGAATACTCGGTTCTTTGTCCAATTCCTTATGCGGTCGAATGTAGAAGAACGATTCGCTGTTTAGACAAACGAACATTGCCGAATGTATTGCTGAATATTGAGTATTTGGTCCAAAGAGCATTGGTTGATCACAGTATCTGGCTAAACAAATATTTGTGAACAATCAGTTCTGGGCCAAATGAACATTACAGAATATATTTTGTATGTGGCCGGTTGAACATTGCTGAATATAACATTTTTTGCCGAATGAACTTTGCTGAATATTGAGTATTTTCGGCCAAACGAACGAGGCTGGCGATTTGGTGTTGGCTAAATGAGTATTGAGTATTTGGCCGAAAAAACATTACCGAATATCCGATGTTTGGCCGAATAAACTGAACGGTATTCGACCGGATGAACATTGCCGAATATTCAAGATGTGGCCAAATGAAAATGCCGATTTCTGACAATCTTGCTGAATAAACGTAACTGAGTTTCGAGTATTGTCCATATGAGGCCGAATAAACATTGTTGTTATTGAATACTTTGAGGAATGAACATCAATGAATTTCCGGTATTCGGCCTGATAAAAGAGTAATTATTTCACTGAAACTTGGTATTCGGTCGAATTTTTCGCCGAATGAACATTGTTACATATTTGGACGAATAAACATTGTTGGATATTTGGCAGAATAAACATTGTTGAATATTTGGCCGAATAAACATTGCTGAATATTTGGTCGAATAAACTGCTGAATATTTGGCCGAATAAACATTGCTGAGTATTTGGCCAAATAAACGTTGCTGGATATTTTACCGAATAAACTGCTGAATATTGGGTCGAATAAACATTGCTGAATATTTGGCCGTATAATTATTGTTGAATATTTGGCCGAATAAACATTGCTGGATATGTGGCCAAATAAACATCACTGAATATTTGGCCGAATAAACTGCTGGATATTTGGCCCAATAAACTTGTCGAATATTTGGACGGAGATACATTGCTGAATATTTGGCCGAATAAACATTGCTGAATATTTGGCCGAATAAACTGCTGAATATTTGGCCGAATAAACATTGCTGGATATTTGATTGAATAAACTGCTGAATATTGGGTCGAATAAACTTTGCTGAATATTTGGCCGTATAAATATTGTTGAATACTTGGCCGAATAAACGCTGGATATGTGGCCGAATAAACATCACTGAATATTTGGCCAAATGAACATCACTGAATATTTGGCCCAATAAACTTGCCGAATATTTGGACGGATAAAGATTGTTGAATATTTGGCCGAATAAACATTGCTGAATATTTGTTCGAATAAACTGCTCAATATTTGGCCGAATAAACATTGCTGAGTATTTGACCAAATAAACATTGCTGGATATTTAACCGAATAAACTGCTGAATATTGGGCCAAATGAACATTACTGAATATTTGGCCGTATATTGCTGATTATTTGGCCGAATAAACATTTCTGGATATTTGGCCGAATAACATCACTGAATATTTGGCCGAATAAACATCACTGAATATTTGGCCGAATAAACATTGCTGAATATTTGGCCGAATAAACTGTTGAATATTTGGCCCAATATACTTGCTGAATATTCGGGTATTCGGCAAAATTTTATAAATATTCGGGTTATTGGATTGGGACTGGAAAAAACTCCGAAACTTCGTTGTTTCACAATCGTTATTTTTTATTGTTCCAGATCGAAGACGAAAGTGATGACAGCGAGGGCGAAGATCACGTGCCGGCGTTCGTCGATGTGCCGTCGACGAGCGCCGACGACCAGCCGGGCCCCTCGGGGGTGGGCAAAGAAGGCGTCGAAGCACCGTGAGTACTTGTTTTATTTCACACCGAATTCCTCCTTAGTCCTGGCCTGGATGTACGGTTGGTCGCGCGCGCGCGCTGGTACGGTCATCTTTTTCTCTTTTTTCCGGTTTTTTCAGCTTCGAATTTCGGTTTCACTTTTGGAAAATTTACTTTGATGATTATTTTTGACAAGAGTTTCAGTTAACTGGTATCTTATTTTATTGAAACAAATATTTTTGATTGATTTAGTTTTTCAACAGAGTGGTTCAAATTCATTTTTCTCTATGGCTGTACCAGTTCCTTTGTTTCTCAGATTTGATTACTCTTTTCATTCATTATAAAATCGCTTATTTATGTTTGGAAAGTACATTCAGGCAATTTTTGTTTCAGACACCAATCATTGAAATTGATTTCTTTGGAGATGGGCCATTCTTATTGATTTCCAGATTTCAAATTTTTGAATTTAGGGAAACGAAATTTTCGTCGGAATGTTTGTTTTCCTCTTAACTACCTGAATTTGCAAAATAAATTTCCACATTCAGTGTATTTGGCTTATGGGGAATCATGTTTTTATTGGGTTCTTCCATTTTTTTGGCAAATTGGCTACTTTGACAATTTCCTACTACTCCAGGAAGAACATCCAAAAAGTGTGATTGCTTGTTAGTCAAATTATCTGGTGTAGTAAGAGAAAAATATGTCTTATACTTTGAGGACATAGTTTTCATTACTGGAAATATTTTGTTTCAATTGATGGTAGATTTTACACAAAGCTCTAGGATTTCTTTGAAAATGTTCAATTTTGAAGATTTTCACTTTGGAATTCTGGAAGTGTGTTCTTGGAACAAAATATTCTGACGAACATTTTTATTGGGAAAAAAATTGGAAAATTGGTGCTCTTGTGTAGTTGCTACTTTTCAACTACATCCTAGAGCACCAGAAACCGTTTTTTTTTCTCTCTGAAGCTAATTATTTTGCCATGAAATCAATCACCTGGAGCAAATCTCCAATAGTAATTATTGCAATATCTACCTTATATGGATACATCTACTTTTTTGTGTCCTTATGAGTCATTGGTATTTTGAATATCTATTTTTTGAGAGTGCTCCAGTATAGTGAAAATCAATATGAAGGCTCCTCCATTCTATCTGGATAATTTCCATAACTTCCTAAAGACCCAAAGGAAAATACAAAAATATTTGTAACTACAAAAATACGAATATTTATAAATATTGTTGTGTTTCTCCTATTAATTTCCACATCATTGCTTTTACAATTTCAATAGATTACCTTTTCAATTTCCATGGTTGGTGTCTGTTGAGTTTGTTGTTTTCATATTTTGTTTTTTCAACAGAATAAGGGTATGTTTGTTTCAAATGGGGAGAACATTATTTCTCATGAGACTCCTGATTACTGGAAATTTTTCATTAAAAAGAGTCAAAAGTCATTTGAAGAAAACATGCCCTTTTCTGCAGTGTTTTATTCATCAAGCTTTGTCATATTTTTGACTAAGCACATTTGCATTGAACTAGTCATTGTGGAAAAATCTATCAATGAATTGCTCAGTGTGATGATTTTTTTTTTCAACAATTTGATTTGTTGTACCAGAGTGAGTTTTCATTCTGGTACAGTACTGAAAAACAAGGCCATAGCATTATTTTGTTATGGCATTTGAAAAATGTTTGATCATGTTGCTAGTTTGATAGTGACAGTAACTGTGAAACTATTGTAGATGCGGCAAAAAAATCTGGATAAAGAATTATCCAGAGGTGCCATTTTGTCTAGAACAGTGTTTTGCAGTTACTGGTACAATCCAGCTAGCAGTATGGTATTTTTGTTGAAATCTAAAAGTGCGATTGCAATTTTAGAATTTCACTTATTTGGGAGGACATTTTCAGTAAATGATCAACATTTAGTGTGAAAAGTGCAATGAAACGTATTTTTTCTTTTATATTGTTTTTTATCTATGAGTGATATTCAGGGATTTCTGAGCCAAAACATAGTTATGTTGTGGCGATGCAAAATATAACTACCGATTTATGAATTTTTAAAGTGAAAGATGGACTAAAGCATTTTTTTGGTTTAGTCATGATTGTTTTGAGTTTTTGAATATTTCGAGTTTCACCATACTGTAGACATATTTTTTTGTGTTGAAAATAGAGCTTTTCAAATATGTGAGAAACTGCTAGGAAGAACGTATATTCACCAATCCATTCTTTTTGGTTTTGGTTCGCGATTTGTGCAGTGACCTATTTCAAGATTCATAAATTTCATAAATGAACGGAAAATTAGCAAAACATTCAATCATTGAATGAAATCCAGTATATTCACCACCAATCCATTCTTTTTGGTTTTGGTTCGCGATTTGTGCAGTGACATATTTCAAGATTCATAAATTCCAGAAATAAACGGAAAATGAGCAAAACATTCAATCATTGAATGAAATCCAGTGTATTCACCACCAATCCATTCGTTTTGGTTCGCGATTTACGCAGTGACCTATTTCAAGATTCATGAATTTCATAAATAAACGGAAAATGAGCAAAACATTCAATCATTGAATGAAATCCAGTATATTCACCACCAATCCATTCTTTTTGGTTTTGGTTCGCGATTTGCGCAGTGACCTATTTCAAGATTCATGAATTTCATAAATAAACGGAAAATGAGCAAAACATTCAATCATTGAATGAAATCCAGCAGTGTATTGATCAAGGTTGGGTAATGATGATTATGAATGGATAAATTGAGGCCATACAAAGAAATAAACTCTATTTATTTGTGTGTTTTATACATTTGAGAGGTTTTCAAATTTTTGAGAAACTGAAGAACGAGAAATAGTGACATTGTAATGAAAATTACAGGTAGTGTAAACTGTAAAAGTGATTTTTTTCTGCTTTGAATAACTGAATGTTGTTACGGACAGTGATTCTAGTAAAAACAAAGTGATTTCAAGTAATGAACACAGAGCCTTCACTTACAAAAAAGGCCTTTACCACTAGTACCGGTTCACAAGCTGTTGACCGGGCAACGCTGTAGTTCAACGCCACCGCATGTTGCCGGTTGACGTGGCAACGCCGCGTTTATCGATCAAGGCGGAGAGGGTCAATGTTCTGACGCCGGCATAATTTTTTTGGGCGTGGCTTTCCCAGCCACGCGAAGTACGCTTGCTCGTTGATGCTTTCCCCCTATTTATCCCCTCCCTTATTTCCTGCCGTTCCTTGCGCAGGCGAGCCGTTATCGACTCGGATGCGGTGTTGCCGGTTCGCCAAACCATCGATTTCTAGTAAGGGGATCGAATGATTGTAATGCGATGTTGCCAGATTGTACGTTTTTTCTGGGGGTAATGGGAAATGTGTAAGTAATCAGTTCCGACCATAGATCTAAATACACATTTAGATCTATGTTCCGACCGAACAGAATTTTGATGAGTCGTTATCGACTGTGGTGCGCCGTTACCGGTTTGCTAAACCATCGATCTTTGATGGGGTGCCGAATGATTGTAATGCGAAGTTGCCAGATTGGGGGATTTTTCTGGGGTTAAGGGAAATTTGTAGGGAATCTAGTTCCGAGCTGAACGAGTTTGGTATGTAAAATTGTCGATTGAGATTACTTGGTTTTCCTACTTTGAAAACTTTTTAATTAAGGTTGACTTTTTTTCGTATATTGTTCAGTTTCTGGGATCTAGATGAGCGACGAGTTTTTTCTTTTTTGATTCAAAATTATTTTTCAAGGTTCACCTAGCTGAAATACAATCATGTTTATATTTTATACAAATTCGGAAGAGTATTTTGGATATCTGTTTGATTATTGAGAAACAGTAACAGCGTATATGATATTTTGAAAAGTATGTTTTTGAAATGATATTGGGGATAAGACTCATTCAGTACTGTAGTTTCCTTTAATTGTTTTCCCCATAAAAAAGTTATCTTTCGGAACAAAAGTTGATTTGGAAAAAAAAATTCAGTGAGAGTTTCATTATTCAGATTTGATTCTTTTTTATATTAGGAAATGATTTCACGATAAATATGTTTGTAATTGGTCCAATATTTTTCGAAATATAGTGCAAAAAATGAAACGTTGGACATCGAATTGCGATCTGTAATTGCTAATTTCTATAAAATGATAAATCAAGTAGTTTGCTGTCAATTATATAGTGCAAAAAATGAAACGTTGGACATCGAATTGCGATCTGTATTTGCTAATTTCTATAAAATGATGAATCAAGTAGTTTGCTGTCAATTATTGTTGATATTTATTTGACCTCTTGGATCTTACGGTATCCTACGATCTACGTCTCAATGGTTCCGACTTCCAATGGCTGCGAGGATCTCTGCTTCCGACGTCATCTCTGAAGAAAGTATTGCCAGATGCTGTTGAAATGAAATTACAACTAAATGGAATTGAATTCGTCAATAAATTTCTCGATTTTGATTCGTTTTTCAATTACCCCACCATTCGATATTTATCTCATTCAGGAATAAGTTCAAAAATAGTTTGAAGTCTAGTAAATTCAGGCACTACGATGCTATCTGAAAGACCTAATACACTTAAAATTACAAAGTGACACAGGAGGTATATGCACTGCTTTTTTGTTCCATTTGAACGTGAAAAATATTGAAAAGATTTAGATATTCATCAGGTCTGAAGAGAAATTAATTATGACCGCGTTTATAATGCTCTTGAAATTCATAGAAGGCTAAGCATGGAAAGGAATTGTCAGTGCCATTTTGTAATCAATGGTTGAATAGGGAATTTCAGGACGAACAAGATGAAAAAAATCATTACATTACTAATGGTAACAAGTCTTTTATAAGGTCACTGCAAAGACATTTTGAATTTTATTGATATACTTCACTCACAGACTGCTGCATGTCTCCTGTGTCACCCAGTATACCAACTACAAATTTTTCTAATGATGCTGGAATTCAGAAACACGAATACACATTTTCAAAATTTTCAACTCCTAATCCAGTTTCAGAATTGTCAATATTACGAAATTATCAAGGCTCACTCTCAATTGA